TTTTATCGATGTATTCGTCCACACTGAGTAGAACATGACAGTCGATACTAAATTAATCTATCCAATCACGAGTCTGACCTCTCCCATAGTTCAGACTCAGGGCCAGTTGCCATCTGGTATTCCTTTGAACTCTGCAGGAAAAAAAACATTCTGCTACTTCCTAAATGTTTTAACCATTTAAACAGTTCAGCCACCATTCTGAGCAGAAGTGTTGTTTCACCTTGAAGAACGTGTCGGTGTAGCTGCCAGCAGGGAGGAGGTGGTCAGCTGGCTGGCCCGGTATGTCTGCATTACTACTCATATAGAGGGTGACGTCCTACATCAGGTCTGTGGTATGTCAGAAGCTGTGCAGTCAGATCCAGATATAATGGGTTACTTACCAGCCAGTACTCGCAGGGTGACCCAAACAGGTGGTTGGTCGGTGAGAAGGCGAAAACACAGCCAAGACACCGCATGTCTATTGCCTCAGAGACTGGGGAGGCAGTCAGCAACCGCAGGGACAGAAGAGGAAATGCAGAAGACTAATGGTGCGTTCCAGTGTACTGTTTATTAATCATTAAAATACCATTAACATTAGGAGAAAAAAAAGACAAAAGATGGTTTGTATGAAGTCATAACTTTATTTATTTAATCAAAACCATTAATCAGTGTTAAGTTTCTCAGGTGAATAAAGCTTAAGCTACTTAAGAATTTGAAAAACGTTTTTCAGATTTCTAATATAAGCCAACTGCAAGTGTGTGTTTCTAACACACATCCCAGCTCAACAAAACAATACATTTACACATCAGGAGCATAGCGTATTCAAGATCCATACTAGACATAGTGAGCTACCCTACCCTAGTCTTCAGTTAGTGTAACATTGTGCCATAACAAAACACAACAATCTTACTACCTCAAACGCAATCAAACACTAAATTAGGGAATAAGGACCTTGATCTGCTCTCTGATATTAATTCACATTTAACATTATCCTGTACCCTGCGTCTTGGCCACAGAGCTCTCTAAACTCAAAATCTCCTTAAAACAAATTCCTTTGTGGTATGCAAAGTGTGTATGGTTGCTTCCATGGTGTTGCAGCGTGTTCTTTGCAGCAGTTTTGCCAGCTAAGATAATACGACATAAAGAATAGGAAAGTTGTATCCCGTTTCATCACTCAGTAGCCTAGTCTAGATTAAATGCAGGGGGAAAATGTCCATTCTTTCCAACAAGAGCCAGAAATCTGTTGACTGCTGTACAAAGAAATGAATTGATCTTAAATAGTGAGACGAAGAGCAAATACCTGTCAACTAAGCACTCCCCCACGCTAAAATTGTGGTGATCACACAAAAACATGCTCCCATTATTGTGCACTTTTATCAGATCAGCGGTCTTCATTAAACAATACAATTCACTACTGTGACATTAAACACAGCACGTGAGGTTTCATCAACATCCTTTTACTTGCAGTTACTCACACCACCTTGCATCAGCAAGTGACGTCAACCAGACAGCAAAACTATGTCAAGTTTGCATATGTAGTTTCTTGTTTATATTTTCAATATATATTTCAATATATTTCATAGTGCACTATAAAACATTAAAACAGTCAAGGCACTGAATGCGAGACAATGAGACATTAACAGGAGAAATTCTGCGCGTGTTCTTTGTATGGGAGAAACACGTGCCTATGTTTACTCGGAAGTGTGCTGGATTTAAGAGAGCGTAGCCTGCCCACAAGAAACTTGACAGAAGCAGCTGAAGAAAAACATAGACACGGTCAGTTGGATAGCAAGGACGCGAGGAGGATGCGTGTCGCGGCGTGGTGCTTATGTTTGTGTAAGTAGCCTAATGTTTCATTTAGATGATTAACTGAAACCAACGCATGTCCCGTGCACAGCAAAGACAGTTGTTCAAAGTGAATCCGCTAACTCAGAGTTTCTGACTCAAAATTGCACCACTCGGTGGGTCATATCTAACTCAGCCGTGAGGAAACTGCTGAGTTGTTTCGTGAGATCGTAGCCTACACAATGCCTGCTATATAAACTGTTATTTTAAAAGGAAGGTTTTAGCGACATTTTAGCGTTTCAGTTAACCGCTTTATTTTAAACTTTCCTAGGGTCCAATGTCACCTGTAGTGATTTGGTAAGCAGAAGTTTGTGGAGGTCTGAGTGTATGTAGCGTTAGATTTAGTATTTTCTATGTATGTAACTTAGGCATATTTACTGTATGTCAGTATTTCCTTTGTAACTTTTCCCGAGCCTAAAATATCCGGATAAAGTTCTTTATTATTTGTCAGAAGCGATCACAAATTATTGGTAAGAAATGTTTTTGTTGCTGGTGTTACGTGTTCGAGGTTTAAACCGCGTTCCTCCGCGTTTGTTTTGCTTAACACTCACGCGTCGGCTGCCTCAGCTTTGCTTCCCATTTATATGGGCGGGCATTGCGTCATTAGCGCCCGGAAACACTACACTCTCGCTCGTGTCTCCGTCTTTTTTTCAAATCACACGAAGAGCTGATCTTTATAATAACCTCATGGATTTGTAACGTAGAGGTTTTCAGGTGTTCCTGGAGGTTGTCTCTGTCTGCTAGTCTCTCTCGCTCTCTGTATAAAGATAACTCTTTCCACCAGGTAAAAAGGACCGGCTGTGCTATAATCTTTAAATACAACCCTCAATCGTGAATCACTCTGAGGCATAAAGAACCTTTAAGTTACAAGGCGGAAGCTGCAGTCACCTTTTTGCAAGTGCAAAACTGCATTGTTTGGGTTGCTTTTTAGTGTAATTGGTTCATCTGGGCGGCCCTTATTCAGCAGTTCAGTTGTAATAGTGAAATGATAGGAAGGCTTAGAGGCGAGGCAAGCAGTCCAAACAGAAATATCCAAGAATCCTTTGGTTAACAGGACCACTTCAGGAAAAGGTGCTGGCAGCTTCAGATTCAGGTGGAAGAGGCTGAATGCAAAAGCACAAAGCAACACAATCTGGCTACTGACAGGGGAAAGGGGCTGCTACGGACAGTATAATGACATGGAGAATTGAGAAACTGGAGAGAAGATAATTTCACAAACAAATCTTGCTTCTGGTGACATATTTGTCTTATTGTCCCCAGGCTTCCTGCAACTTTGCAGTGCACTGAACATTAACTGTACAGTCACTGATGATGACCAAACAAAGTACAGCATCTCAGATGTGTCTTGGGTCTCAGATGCCAAGGCGATGAAGTGCGAGTACTCATGGACAGGTGTAAGTAAGACAAGACACAACAGCCCACCGTTTCTGACATGATACATTTTCAGTTGTCCATATTTCAGAAAAACCCTATTTTAACTAATAACTATTATTATTATTATATATTATTATTAGTAGTAGTAGTATAAGTATGTTTAGTATAACATTGTTCTATTCTATTTAAATGTGCTAGTAAGCAGTGCCACTTGGCCAGCTTGCACAGTAGCAGGGCACAAGCACAGGCTCATCTGAATGACTCATAAAGACATTATCTTAACTTGCCGTGTGATGGCCGAACTTGTTACACTGTATCCTCGCTGCGACAGACATGTGCCTGAGAGTTTTTGTTAATGATTTGTGTTCTCTACTAATGAATTTTTCCTATGTTCTATGTTAAGACGCAAGTGATTGCGAACCAGAATGGAGAAATGCCTGAGCTGGTGTTGACAAACAACATTAATACTCTTGTTATCTTGAAGTGCCTCGACAACATTGTCTTCACACGAAGCTGCGTCTCAGAGGTATACACTTTTAATCTGAAACAATATTTTGACCGACTTAAGGCATGAGCTCTTTTTATGCAAAAATACAAGATGTTAAAACAATGCAGTAAATAACTAGATTCTCTGAATTTTAATAATAATATTGTGTTAGGAGGTTGAACAGTTAGATGAAAGTTTCTTTTGGCACTATGGATAAGATATGATAACTTCATCATCAGACATCAGAGGTCCGAAAAATGTAAAGCCAAAGACATAGATTTAAAAATGTCGTTTTTCTGCCAAACTCCAGACAATAACAATCTCACTGTATTGTCCCTTTGTTTCTTCTCAATAGGGGACAGAATACACAGCCAACTGTACTGGTGAGTATTATTTCCTGTCAGAGGTAACGCTGTATGCAAGGGGTATTTTAAATTATAAGTAGATTGTCATTGTAAACATTTTGTTCTACCATTTGCCTTGTGTAAGATTGTCCCGCTGTATCGTTCATAGTCATAGAAGATAGTTTTCCTTCATCTAATTTGAAGTGAAATTTGTATTTCCATTTTATCTGATATATATAATGATATTCTGATATAAAAATGTCTTCTTTTTACAGTCAACTGCACTCTAAAGGCTCTCAGACTGTCTCAGACAAAGGTAGGTACGAAAAGTCATAAATGATATAACATAATAATAATCCTTTGTATCACATATGGTTTACATCCTAGAACAGATGTCAGTTACAAAACAATTCTTACAGCAACAGCTATTTATAAAGAGATAAGAAGCATTAGCCATTGTTAATGTAAGATTATATCATGTGTCTGTACTTCCTGTTTGACTTGAAGCGACAGTAGGGCTGGACGATATGGCCAAAAATGTTATCACGATAAAAAGTTTCATATCTTAATATCAGTTAATTAATTAGTTGTCATTTCAAAAGTTACACTGGCTTTTCCAAACGCAAAGAATGCCTTTTTCAGGCCTGGGGCACCACTATTTGTCTCACTTTGTAGACAAGTTAACCGTCACTCTTATCACCATTTAGGTTAGAGCAGTAAAGTACAGGATAAATGCTTGGATTTATTCATTTCTGCTCAATGACTGCATGTTTAAGCCCATTTGCATCCCACAGATTGGTTATTGCTTGTGTTCTATATACATGAGTGTAAGAGGGCCACACGACTCCCATTACAGTCGAATTGTGCATGCACTGTAGTAAGCTAAAAGAAAATGGTTATTTAATGTAATAACTGTGTTATTTGAATGAACAGTTGGACTTTTGAAATATAAAATATTGTCTGTTGGTAGATTAACTGTGAAACTCTCTTTTTTTACCTGACAGAGACCCGTTACTGGATACCTAGTATTGTGGTTCTCATTATCTTTCTGCTAGCGGTGGTGGTGCTGATGTTCCTTGGTTTTCTGTACTCCAAACACAAAACTTGCAGGTATTTTTTATTACGTCAGTATATAAAGTGACATGCATTGCCACCATCTCATATGTTTTAAATAATGCTTTGTTGTCATTATATGCAGCCAACTGGGATGCATCTACACTGTTGTGACGAAACAGAGCGTTGACCCAGATGCATCTGATGTGGAGGCGGGGAAAGAGTAGAAAGACCGTCTTATTTTCACCTTTCTAAGATATTGTGATTTAATCAAATTCATCTTGCCATTTAATCGGTTACATGATTTGATACTGTGCCTGAGAATGCGCCTTCCAGTTTCATTGTAACTCTGTTTATTATCATGAAGTATGTAAAAGTATACCGTCATCTGGAGTAGTTTCTTAGCATATAATGTGTAGCACCTTTTTAAATCTACTGAAAACTATATTCATGCTTTTTAAATTGTCTTCCGTACATTGTTTTAGTAGCTGTGTGCCTTTCTGTAGGGAACCATGTTTCTCCTGTCCCTCTTTAATCCATATTTTAGCAATCTTATTTATCTTATGCATTCATGTCACAGTTTACATTGTGTTACCGTCACTGTTTAATCACTCAAGGACAATCATGTGTACATTCATGTGAGTCAGGGAAACTATAGATGTTTTATCACTTTCGACTTAAGTCAGGACCAGTCAGGACCCTGTACTGGTGTTAACTTGAACCAAAGCTGTGGAAGCTACGAGACTTGTAATGCAGTACCAGAGAGTGCCCTTTCAGTGTCCTGTAGCATTACAGTAAGCCCCTTTTCAGTCATTACTCGCACAGAGACGTACAGATAGTTTCAAATGTAACAGTCTGAAAAATATAATATCTGAGATAATATGGTTTTGAAATATATTAATTTAAACAAATTGTATATATATTCATATAGATCTTTATTGTTGGAAATACACTAAATATAAGTGAAATATTAAATGATACCTGATAGATATTTATTTATATATATAAATAAATAAATAAATTTAAAAAAAAAAATATATATATATGTATATGTATATATATGTGTGTGTGTGTGTATGTGTATGTATATATAATTTTATACACTAATTATAAATATACTACAGGGTTTGGATACAATAATGTGTGAAATATAATTCTATCCAATACACGTTTGTTGTGGAGCGAGAGATAGTGAAGATAAAGTTCTTGGATTGCATTATTATGTGAGGTGGTCCAGACATTATGGTCTTAAATTGTACATCATGAGTCCTTGTCTTAACCGTGCCTGCTTAATGAAATTTGTAATTTATATCATTCGTCAAATCATGTTTTGTATCAGCACTCTATTCCAGCTGTGTCACTGTGATGTGCTTTCTTTGTCAAAAAAAAAAGCATTAAAAAGCTGCTATAAAACAAAACAAAAAGGAGTTTTTATTGTTGTCAAATACAGTAGCTGTAGGCTGTTTATAGTAAGAAGGTGTGTCCTAATATGGGGCAATTTTCCTCAACCAATGAAAGGTGGGTGAGGTTTGGTCAAGTCTTGTGGTGTGACACAAACTTAAGTTTTTTTGCAGCAGCTATCTCACAGGGAAAGGTGCACAGGTGTTAAAACTATTACCTTACGTGTTATGAATCTTACATTAACATGGTGTGATCATGGGGGTGTGACCTGTTCAGCCAAAGAGAAACAGGCTTACTGTTGTGTGTTATGTAATAGAATGTGGTCACAGATAAGCAAATGTAGTTAAGTGGCACACAACAAAACTTTTTTCTTTGTATTGACAAAGAAAAGTTTTTACTAAACTTTATCACCTGCAGTGACTTTGTCATAATCAATCAATTCCCAAGACTTACAGCCATAATGGCGGTTCGGTGAGGCTGTATTTAGACACAGAAGGGCTATCATCATGCTAACACGTTCATCAGGAAAATGCTAACGTGCTGATGTTAACAGGTATTTTGTTTACCATGTCAATCATCTTGGTGTAATGGTTAAGAGTACTTAGTATAATATTAGCAACATACACAAGTGGGAATGTCATTAGCTTTGCAGGAATTTGGTCACAAAGTAACATTGTGAAGTTAAGGGCTCACCAAAGGTATTATAATTCACCCTGTACACAATGTCATTGTAGTCCATTTTATAGATATTTAGATATTTCAGTCTGGACCAAAGTTTTGGACCAACCTAATCAAACCGCCCCACCATGGGCTGTTTTCAAATACGACTCTGTGTGCATTTATATTGACCCTCGTCTTTTACTCATTTTGAATAGTTGCTTAAAAGTGTGTAAGAAGCTGAATTGAAGGTCATTCAACCTGCTTATTGTTGAGACAGGATGTGGTCGAGGCTTCCTCACAACAGAACCTCATTTGTTGTTTTGGACAGTGATATATTACCAAAACTAAAGTGTCCAGACTTGTGGGAACTCTAAACTTCATGAACTAATCGTAACTCAGAAGTCATTGTTTGGATTGAGAATCTGTGTGTGTGTGTGTGTGTGTGTGTGTGTGTGTGTGTGTGTGTGTGTGTGTGTGTGTGTGAGAGAGAGAGAGAGAGAGAGATATTTCACTTACGGGAAACAATGCTTGTGCAATGTGGGAATTTCCCCTTGTAAAGAAAAACAAAGCGTTTGACATGACATGACATGACAGGACATGATGTACTTGCATGTATCTAAACCCTCATCTTACCTTCATGCCTATATGCACAAGTTTTCAAATGAGCTTCATCTGAAACTGTTTACCACCAAAGACATCTTATAATTCATTCATTCATTCATTAGTCATCCCCGTTTCTCTGTTAGTGTTACTCTAGGTCAAGTGAGTCTTTGAGGTAAGCATAGCTGTGACGTGATATGTAGCTTGACATGTGATCTCTCACCCAAATCCAGCAAAAGTGGAAGATGTGTATTTGCTGTCCTGAACAACATACTGACACACCCAATTCCTATTGCAAACAAATGACCTGAATCACTCACTCAGTGAGGGAGTGTACTGGACATGCATTACTAATGGAAATGGTACTGGCTTTTTAATTAAAATTACATCAGAGCACTGTATAACGATTTCGTTAGGGACAAGGTACAAGGTAGTTTTATTTATCATTTTACAACACAGGGTTGTACTACGAGATTAAGTAGTTGTAGTAGTAGTTGTATACACACTAGATTTAGACAGAGTAAGTTAATTCAGATTTTTACCTTATTACTTTCTAAAGGTTTATGTCTAAATGTCATCTGATTCTCTCAATATTTAGACATTTTTATCATTTGTCATCAATTAACATTACTCATTTTTACATGTTACAAATGTTGTTCCTCCAGACTCGATGGGACTCGCTCTAACCCCCACGTCCTGAACGGAAGAGTGCCTGTCCCTGGGCAAACAGGAGTAAAAGGACACACTGGACACACAAGAACTTCACTGCACAAAAAGACACCTTTGAGTGCTAATGTGAAGCCTCTGCCAAGTAACCAGTAAGGTTTCCCACCTTCTCCCTGCTGCCAAGTCCTCTTACTGCTGCTGCCTAGTGGTTATGTGGTGCTCCGGCAACAACATGACCACAGAAGGACAACATGAACAGGAGCAACATGACGCTGAAGAAAGTGTGTGTATATGTACAGTATGTGAGATGTAATTAAATGGATATGTTGAGAACAGTTCATTTTGCGAGGTAAACATTGACAAGGCTGCTGTTACACATACATACATACATACATTTTATTTAAAGAGACTGAGAATGTGCACATTTAATATAATGGATTTTTAAATTATGCTTCTCTAATGTTGACAGCGTCTTGTGCCTCGACCCATGTTGCAATTAAGGCTTTCATCAAAACTGGACTTGTCAAATTACTTTTTGTGAAGCAATGGTTCAAGTTCAAATTTATTGTCATGCATTAGAAGCAGTGCAATGAAAGCTTGTGCTCTAGCTACCTCCCTGCAGTGCACAGAAGAGATACGAATGGATACACAAGTACACACACTCTCATCTAGAAAACAAACTCACCATACAGATGACAGTATGAGACTCCTGCAAAAAGCCATTTAAACCAAGTGTTTTGTCCCCAGACGTTGGCTGGTCAGAATATTCCTCTCAGAATATTCCAGGATGTTTACAGTGATAAGCTGGTTGAAAAGGGATACGTTCATAAACCACAATGCATGCCTGTCCTTTATTTCTTAAAAAGAAACTGCCCCTTTTTTCATTTAGGGGCACTAGTATAAAGTTGCACAAAATATTCTCAGAAGTTTCTTCAGTGTGCAGGTCCTCAGACGCAGACTTATGTCCCCAAATACAGGAGAACTGGAAACAAATATTTGGTCTTGTTTCAAAGGTACATAAAAGTCAGATAATTCCAGATCCTATTTTGATCATTCTTGGACCTTCTGAGAATTCAAGTAAACTCTTGATTCCCCAGCAACAGCTCTTATCCTATGGCATTCCTGAAGAAACTCTTTGAAACTGTTGAGTGAGGTGAAGATTAGAAAACCTAAACAGCACTCATGGGTAGAAGGGAAGGGAAGTAGGCAGTGGGCCAAGGCCACATATCTGCTTAGAAAATAATGATCCCCATTGAGGGAGCACCCAGATTTTGTGAAGATTATTTTATTCTTAGAATAAGATTCTGTTTGCTGCCACTCAAACTTCTTGCACATTTTTTCAGAATCTAAAGTTTGTTAAGTTTGCCGGCAAACGCTGCTTGAGGGTTTTGTTTTTTAGTGTGACTAAACTGATAGTGCTTCACAATGAAAACATCTGAAACAGATTCACCTTGAATGACTAAACTATGAGTGATTTTTTCCAATTACTAAAGATATTGAATGTAGAGTGAGATATGGACTTGTGCTTAAGGTCCACTGTGAAGGGGGGAATCATTTCACGACATTCAAGTGTTATCATGCCAAAATACAATTTGCAGACATGCATTTCACAATTTGTGATTATATTTTACCACCTTGAGTGATAATTATTTCCAACAAGAGTGGACATTGACACAAGCCGCGGAGAGCTATTTTGAATTTTCACATTTGATGTGTTGTATCCCTGCGATCCAAACTTTGATATGAGGATTATGCTCTAGAATTAAAATTACAAATTACATGTTATCATGTAGAAAATGAATCTGTATTTATGATAGCTTTTTCCTGGTGGTTTCTTTCTAGTCTCTGTTTTTCTGATTAATATATATCTTAATATGTTTGTGGATTCTGGATATATTTGCGGATTGTACGATATGTCTCTCTGCTGAATGATGGAGCACATGTCCATATTTGGACCTAGTCTGGTTCAAATATGGGGATGCTGTCTGAGGAGAGCTTTGCTCAGATCTCAGCCATGTGGTTGGTGTGGTGTTTGGGGGACATGGTGATTATGTATTTTCAGACCCTTGCTGGGCCTCACTAGGAGATTGCTGTGTAGAGTTCTTGTCGCACTTTCAATAAGGAGATGTAGCAGGTGGATATATTACACTGTATTTGGTCAATTCCTGGCTAAAGTTTGCTGCTATTGATATACTCCAAGTTGCTCAGAAGTTAGAATCTGTGTATTTTAGGTGTTGTGGTTTCCCATTCAATTCTGTCATAGAGGTCTTTAAAATTTGGTAGTGGTGATGTAGGTGATGATGACCCTGGAGAGTCAGGGAATGGCATTTGTTTCATGTCTCTACTGTGCCTGGTCCTCCTGCCTGCTCCTGGTCAGCATTCTCCTCATGGCTGAGTTGCGTAGCATCCCATTTGTCTCTTCCAAAGAGGCCTATGCAGCTGCCTGTGTTTGTCCTTAGCCGGACAATGCATCCAACCCGGTAAGCGGGGTCACATTTAACACACATCATCCCTGTGAAGTGTGAAGAGATCACTAGGAGCCCAACAGAGGAGGTGGATACAACGACACATGCCAACCTTTCATATCCTCAAATGGCCCTTTGTCTGCTGTTTTTTTAAACCTAAATCCCAGAACGTCCCACAGATAAATCTTTCCGGTACTATCCCCAGTCAGCCAGTCACCAGTCAACATGGTGGTAATGACTGCATCTTCATCATTCACTGCCCTGAACTTTCCTAACAGACCCCCCTTACTAATAAAAGACCAGGCATGGATGTTGCCATCAGCAGAAGTCAGCAATGTGGCTATTCAATGCCTCTGGATCTTTTGAGTTTTTGTTATTTATAATCTTCAAAATCTGAACACTGACCATTGGTTCAATAAGAGGTTTGAAGGGATCCAGATCCAAAGAATTAGTAGACTTATGAGAGAGCATTCAAATACATGTAGAGCTGTGCCTACACAAGCTGTCCTTCTGTACATATTGTTTCAAGTGTATCTGCACGCACATTGTAAACTGGATATATAATAAAAGTCACAAATATAAGCATATTTTCACTGAGCCTCAGCCCAAGTACTCAAGACAACTTGCTTCTAATAGGGACATTCTGCTGAAACCGTGCCATTTCCGTACCCAGGACATAGAGAGTGCATGAAAATGAACTTCAAAATACATTTTATTATTAAACCAAGTGTCCTGTACATTGATCTAATTGCAAATGCAATATATAAAACTTAAACATTAATAAAAACTACCTAAAACACTGAAAAATAGCATTTGTAACCTGTCCCCACTCCCTAAAAGTAACGTTATCCTTTACCATGAAATGGCCTATAATCATTAAAATCCTTCAGAAATCATGCTGTTTTTGTTTGCATTGTTGTGTGACTCCATGCTGTTCAGCATGCGCAAACAAGTGCACTCTCAAACTCATACAGAGCAAAATACTTTAGACAGCTTTCACTGTTCCTCTTGTTTCCTGGTCATTTGTAAAATTTCATATTTTGTAGGCGATGGCTGATCTTCTAAATCCAGCGAAAATGGCGAGTTTGGTAAATTCAGAGGCCGCTAATAGCCGAACAAATAAAAGTAAGTTTTTAATGTTTGAATTTTAACAGCGCCCCCCATATTTGACTTCCGTATACACGTTCTTGTATTAATTACCTGCGTGCCGCGCGTGGCCTGGAGACTGAAGCGCGTGTGATTGAGCGGAAGGTAGATTTTTCGGTTGGTTGATTTTCAAAAGGAGCTCCTTTTGGTAAGTTTATTTTAGTGATCTTACACACTGGTAAGACATTTATACTGAATTTATTTGTCTCGCATAAAGTGATCTCTTTCGTAAAGTATGAGTCACGTTAAGTTCCTGACGCTAGCTAGCTAACATTACCTAAAGTCTGAAGAAAGTATTGCTGCTAGCATTAATGCCCGCCGAGTCTTTCTACCGCTGAGACCGTCTTTTGCACGACCTTGAGTAAAAAATAGGTTTGCTTAGCTGAATGTTGGGAACTCTTACTGTTATCAAGGTAACGTAACATTATAATGACGTTTGCAATTTAAGTGCGACTTCTAATTTTTCACATCACCAAGCGTAGTGCTAAAAAGTACTGGGCTTCAGTTAGCTACAAACTTAAAGCTGACGTTAACCTTACATTGAGGGAAACAATTTAGTTAACCAGAAGTTAAAACTCATGACAGGTTAACCCTGAAACTTTTAGCTGTTACGCGAAAATAATGTAACGTTAGTACATAACATACAAGTTACAAGGATGCACAACTTACCAGATGCACTGTAGCGAGAGTTTGGCCCACAGAAGGTGTGATAAGTGCCTTAAATGTGGAAGAATCAACATTGTGTATCTGGTATTTTTAGAAACGATTTGTTTTTATCTTTTTTTTTCTTCTTTGATTTGATTATAAACCCCTGTGGGTTTGACCCAAGCTTGGCTGCACATCATGAGTTTGTGAATATAATGTATAGCAAATGTGCATTTCTGCCCTAATTGAGTCCAGATTTAGTGTTTGGGGTATTCATGCACTTCTTATTAATGAGGCCTCCAAGGAACAAGTCTGTTTAAACATGAACCCTGAACCAGCATTGTATTTTGCTCAGTCAGTCTGAACATGCATTAAAATCGAATAATAACAAGGTGATGTTACAACGCAAAGTAGCCATGTTTACTTTTGAGAGAGAACACTGTTAGAAAACACTATTTCCATCTGACTGTTATCAAAAAGCCTTTTTGATGAAGTAGTAAAGACTCATTGTCTTTTGTTGGTAGCTCAGAGGATGACTGTTTGTGTGAGACAGTTTGTTTTCTTTCTTTCAGACGCTGGGCTTTGATGAAAATGAAGAGTGGCTTCGAAAGGGAAGAGGTGGTGGACATGGCACATAGAGTCAAAGGTGAGTAAGAGCTAAAGCCATGTTGGACTGATGAGCTGTCTTATTAGGGGGATCATCTTGTTCTTCTTAAGTGAACAGACATATATTTGCTTTCCTTGAAATACATAATTTAACTGACTATCTGATGTATGTTTTTTTTTTTTTTTTTTTTTTTTAAAACAGACACCATTTTCAATAGGCTCACTCCACCCAAATTCCAGCACTTGAAACCTCTTTCTGTATATTCAAGGATGATCACTTGTGACCCAAAGGCCAGTGTGCATTGCCCGAAAATGTTTTGTAATCCATTTATTAATTTTAAAATTGAGGTAGTGAATAATTGCGCTGCAAAAAGGAAATTAGATGATTCCAGTCCCGATGATGGTTATGAGACTCCAGCAAAAAAGGCCTCTAGTCCAAAGGCTTTGTCCCCAGACGACGGGTGTTTCATGGAATATTGCAGCTCTCCTGCAACACAGGATTCTGTGTCACCTTTTGCCGTCTCTAAGCCTGCATTGTTGGATAAGAAACAAGCTATTTGGGGTGAAATAAAAGAAACTGAGAGCTCTCAGCTACACTCTGAGCATGTGGAACGTGGGTCTTCAACAGAGACAGGTGATAGTAAGGGGACTGGACCACAAAGTTTGAAGTTTGAGAAGTTCCTCTTAAATTCGGCACCTGCCTTTGACTGTGATGTTGACGACATCTTGTGCCTCAATCCCTTTGGTATTTGTACTGCTGGAGGATTGTCTGATAATGTCGAGAGCTGCAAAAGTCCAAGTAGCAACCCATTTCAAAAAAAGCCAGTCTTAATTTCCACTGTGGCACACAGACAAGAGTTAGAGAGAGGAGATGGGCGAGTGGGGAAAGGACAAGAGGAGCTGAAGAAAGTCGTGTGTGAGAATGTAAGAGATGTAGAAGAGGACATAGGTTATATCTCCATGTCCTACAAAAAGGAATTAGGAAAGGACCCCTCTGATTCAGTATGCACTCAGTGCCATCCAGCTACCTCGAGCCCCATGTTCAAGATAGGTGATGTTAAAGCACCAGATGATGAGCGCCATGCTGAAAGTTCTTCTAAGACAGATTGTCATAAACAAGCTGCTTTGTCCGGACAGCACGTTTCCTTTACAGTCAGTGATTCGTGTCTTGTTGTAAGTGATCCGCTGTTGGAGTCTGTGAACTCGCCTGTGGAGCTTTTAGATGGAGATGTTGAAGAGGAGTGGAATATTGGCCCCCCACGTTTGAATCCTCAGTGTGTCACAGTGTCACAGTGAAGTTGAATGCCGGTAGTGAACCGAGTAGACATGCGTCAGAGGAGATGCAGGGAGGTTTGAGTGAGTCTGTTAATGAGTGTCAGGCCACACTTGGAGAAGACGACACACTAGACACCAGTTATGAAACTACGTTACCTCTACAAGTACAGGTAAGCTGTTTCACCCCCCCCCCCCCCCGATATGGTCCTGCAGTCGTGTTTATCATGTGTACAGTACAGTGTGTATTCTGTAAGTTCTCACACACAACCTTTTGTTCTTTCTCAAGGTGAAATCAGTTGTGGTTGATCCCAGTCAGCACACCTCCAGCAGTAAACCAGTTACGCCTCCTCTGTCAGAGCACAACGCCAAGCCAAGCCCAAAGGAGAACAGAGGCCTTGTGAGGAGACAAAGGTATAGTTGCCTCTGTCACCTCTAGGGGGAGCAGTATGACCATATAAAACACAATGTGGAGGTTTTGGTTGTAAGGGCAACTGTGTATCCTTGATGATAGTCCCATATTTTTACCTGCCTGCCTTTCTGTGTCATCAGTGTCTGTAGGCCCATGTATATTGAGAGTGGCTTTGCTTTCACCCTACTCAGATTTCTGCCTGGAGCGTGGGGTGTCTTTTGTGGCTGAATGTGCTTGTATAGAGATTTTGACTTTTTCAGGCCGGTGATCTTCGACAGGGAGGTGGACTGGGAGCGTGAGAAACGGTTGTATGTCCATTCGGTCACCAGACACATAAATGAGAAATCAGGATCAGGCCAAGGTATGACCCTGAGCTCTACCACAAACACCAGAGAACCACACTGAGATGGCCTTTAATGGGATTTTTCATAGCTGTCGATTGCACCATTAATGCGAGAGTAGGGCTCATTGATATCATCTAAAGTCTCTATCTATCCATCCATCTCATCGATTATTATTATTTTTTTTTTTTAAATACGTTTCCTGAAGATGTCATGGCTGAGCTGATGAACCTGATGACCCATGTGGCTGACCAGACACCGGACACAAATGGCAGACAGTGGCAGCATCCCTCTGACCTCACACGCAGGTACATCATCCTCATTGGGTTTTATAATTTTGAAGAGGTGTGGAATTAAAATACTCCTAAGGCAGATTTGCTTCAGCCAACATAAAATATGTGGCTTGGGATCTGTGCTTAATTTCAGAAACTACCAAAGACGGTTTGGAAACATGACGCCAACAATGGCCCTCTGTGAATGGCAGGCCAAGAATTTTACAGCACACAAGCGCTTTGCCAAGGTCCCAAAAATCTTTGAAAGAAGTCCATTTCCCTAAATTAGGCGTTGTGGAATCTTCTTGTGAACAGATGGCACTTAACTTCTTAAGAGATCTTAAGTTGTACCAGGTATGAAGTGGGCCTCAGATCAATGTTTGCACTAGTTTTGCTTAGTTGAATTTGTGGTGTTTATTTTTGGTTTGTCAGTTTGAGTGTTCCTCTGTATTTTTCTTTTGAACTATGCATGTATGTGTATATAAAAATTAATGCATGTTTTGGTGTTATAATACTGACCTTTAGTGCGTTGTCTTTTTACTGTAAGAACTATGCCTGTTTTAATGTGAATATAAGTATGTCTTGTACTTCCAAGTTTAACATTTGTACTTTTTGTTGTGAGTGCCAGCGTATTCCCTGCTCATGGTTTACTTCCTCTGGATATGATGCAAACAGTCCAGACCTATACTGACATGTTTCTCAACTGTTCCTGTTAATTTCTTTCCTCTTATACATACAATAGCCTCCCATCAGTTTTTGTGGATGATCCTTCAAATGACAGCAGCTAGCAGAATAGAAAATGATAAATGTATAAGTTTAGGAGGCATGTTGGATTACATTGTATCAAGTGTTCCTGTTACGTTGTCCACCCTTGTACATCAAGCCTCATGTGTGGATCAGATGGGAGATGTTGGTTTAAGGTGTAGTGCAGGGCAAAGCTGAGTAGATGATTATGAAAGTCTGGAAATGTTTACCAAGAGGTTTTAGTCCAGTCATTCATACAAACCTCTAGAGATTTATGTAAGCAGGCATTTCTGCATGTTTAACTCAAGACTGAGGAAACAAACAAATATTGGATTACTTCTTTTTACAACATGACATTCAGCATATCTTTGAATTTATAATGTGATATAATGTTTTAGGCAGGCAGAATTTGTTTAAGTTTTGTGCTCCATACATTGGCATGGTGTTAGATGGAAGTGTTTATTAAGGTCAGTGCACCCATATCATATGAGCATTTTTCAACCATACCCTAAGTTGTAATGGGGGAATGTGTCCGTTAATAATGTCCTGGCTAATATGGATTTTCTCAGACCACTGGCCATTTTTAACAACTTTTATTATATCTAATAAAATAGGAAATCTGTTCACAACAAAGTCTGTCAATTATCCATAACAATCCAGAAACCCTGCTTTTCAGGTTTTCAAAAGTAATTTTGTGAGGACCACAAACAAAATTCCTTTGTACCTTCTTTTTGGGGTGTCAGCAGAAGTTTTAGTTGTGGATATTTAAAAACCTGCCACTAATGTAAACACTACCACTAGGGGTTAAATGGTCAAATGTTTTTAGTGATTTGTGTGAACTGACCTTTTTAATTATAGAGCAGCAGTGACCACAATGTACACCCAGCTTTGGTTAAACCCATTGTAAGAAAAGTGTAAGTGCCACTGAGTGGAGAACTCTGTCCATGGAGTCAGAGCAGGGCTGTTTGTGTGAGAGCGAGGCAGTGCTGTTGATGAAGTACTCAAAAATAAAGCCCACTCTGTTCAATTTACTACTGTCGTCATCCTCTGTTAGTATTTGCTGACCAATGCGGCATCTTTGTCAGCATTATTTCAGAGTCTACTTCGCAGCCTTAGAGTTGCTGTGCACAGGTACAGGCTGGCAGAAGTGACCCCAGGGAACCCAAATACATGGAACTCATCAGCATGGGTCCTTTCTGTTGAATAATGCAGGCTGTTAAAGTAATCCTGTCTGTAGAGATAGCAGGGCAGTCAGTCCCTGACCAGCCATCCAGAAGGCAGAGGTGTGTGGGTGTCAGTAAAGGCCTCGTGACACATGCTGTCCGGACTGCAGGGCACGTGTGCAGGCGAGCAGCCACAGCACCTCTGCACAGCTTCCAACAGTGTTTTACCTCTCCAGAGCCATGAACAGGATCTCTGCAGCGATGAAAGCTGTTTGTGTTGGTCTGACATGCCTCGCAGTGCTTCTGCAGCTGTGTTGGGTTTTGTCAAAACAAACTGCACGACCAAAAACAAAAGACTGAGCTATACATGGCATGAATGCGAGATCATGCGTGTCAGCTACAAAACCCTAGCGCCTCGTTTCTGCTGCTCAGCCAGGGAGTCCAGCCAACGATTGCTCTTGTATTGATGCATGGACAAACAATCTAATGTGGGACCTGAGTAAGATCCAATCCATGTTGGGTTTTCTATTTAAGTCTCATTGATTTTGAAGTGATTGCAAATTCAGCCTAGTTTTCTTACACAAGTTGCTTACTTGTTTAGCCTTAAACCATGTTGGGTGTGTCTCCGGAGGCGACTCCATCCCTCCCCTGTAACAGTAAGATGCTTTTATTTATTTTTTTTTGATGGAGAAAACTCTTGACAGTTGAAGTCTGGGATTAACACGTATTAACAAAAGAGAGAACTTGACATCCTGGATTCTGTAAACTGTTTAAAAAACTGAATTCACCATCCTGATTATCTTATCCAGAAAGGTTGAGACGATCTCATATTTTCATTCATTCAGCGACTTGCAATTGAGAGATAGATATATAGATGGATAGATATAATCAGGTTGCACACCTCTGGAGCGTACCAGGGGGTTAAGTGTCTTGCTCAGGGACACATTGGTGTCACAGTGGACTTGAACCCGGGTCTCTCACACCAAAGGCTTATCCACAACTTATGCCATCACCATCCCGTATTTTGTTGTTATTCCCAAACAAAATCAAACGCATAGCTTTGTGGAAAATATTAGATATTTTTATTTTATTTAAGCATACACAAGTAAGCATACACCGTGTTCTTCATAATTGAAGTTGTGTAACCTTGTGCATAATCGTTATACCATGCTAGCCCTCATTATGCAATACCTGCTGTACACTTCATACAATGAATATAAACATGATGGCACTAATAAAGCAGTTCATTTTTCTAAACCATGCTTCTTTGTGGATCTAATTCCTATAGTTAAGAACCCATAATGAAATAGTCCAACTTCTCTAACATCACAATGATGTTTCAGTTTCCAGGTGTGTTTCGAGTCTCATACAAAATCCACATTTTGTAAGTTAGGAAAAATCCAATGTCTCTACTGCCCTTTCGTCTTGTTGCAAAATAGTCCATTACTGCTACTGAGCATACTGTATTTTTCCGGCATACAGTAGCATGAGAACACCATGTGCCTCTCACACTGAAAGACAGTCCTCAGTGTGTTGTTAAGAGTGCTTTACCACCGCAGGGACGAAAAGGAATGTTGAGCGCTTACAGTCGTCACTATTAGCGGAGTGTGACTAAGGAAAATTATTTTTTATTTGTGGTTGACAGTTTAACCTCTCCTCGAAGAAACACCAGTAGTGGCTGGATGTCCTCACAGGATCCAAATTATTTTGGATTATTATTATAAATGATGAGTTTGTTTCTTTAGCAGTAGGACGAGTTAGATACCCGGGTGTCTTCCACTAATTCAGTTATTTAACATTCTCATGTCAGGTCACTGTCAAATGATGGTCCACACAGCTGTTAACCATCAAACTGAGGCTGCTGGATTAGCCTCTCTGTGTAGAAGATCTCACTCAAACACATTGCTAATGTTCAGATCCTTAAAGGAAAAGTTTGACATTTGGAGAAAAATGCTTATTTTACTTTTGTGCCAAGAGTCTGATGACAGGAGAAATATCATATGTAGCTGGAATACCATAGTAGTAGCTTGGCAGCTTAGCATAAAGACTTGTAACGGGAACAGCTTGCCTGGCTCCATATTCTCCTCAGTCTTTATGCTAAGCTATGCTAACCAGCTGCTGACTGTAGCTTTACATTTAATAGAGGTACAGAACTAACTCTCTGCATGAAAGCAAATAAAAGCATTTTTTCAAAACTGTTAACATTAAAGTTGGACAACAAACTGCCAGAAAATAGGATGTTAACAATAGCCCTACATTTAAATCAGTAGTAAGGAATACAATATTTACAATGGCAACCTAGAGGAGAGTATTGTAATTTGGAGTTGGTGATACGCATAGTTTGTATTACCAGGGTGATGTTAGGTTAATGTTGGACATTTGCCGGTTTTCGTGGCTGTTACCTTCAGTAGCTCCGTGTCTAAGCCTTGACTTCTCCCTGATTTAGGATATGTTGGATAGTGTGGTGGGAAAAAGCCTAATTTAGGCAGACGTTTCACAGTTTTGATCACCTTTAAATCAACAAAGATGACGATGCAGTTGAGATTGCAAAGAAACTGAATGTCTGTCCAACGCACCTGTCACTACAGGCGTAGTTAGGGGCCATCGTAAAAGTGCAGTAAGACCCATTTCAATCTTCAATAACCTTTTTGTTTTTCAACATACAAATCTCAAACCACTGCCATTATAGAGAGTGACAGCCCTAAAACATTTCACATCTCAAAAAAGCAACACAACTCAGCTAATCATGTTTATCAATAACCTATTTCCTTAATTACGCACATTCCAATGTTGTAATTTCAAGAGCTTGCTCATTTGTAAACATATTGATCTGTCATCTGTCTTGGACATCCCTTCACAGCTTTCACAGTAGTTAGTTTGTGAAAATGCCCTTAGCAAATCCCTTACATCATTATAAATATTTACTGTATTATTATAGATATACACTTCAGCTTGAAATAGAGAGAACCTGATCCATTGGGAATGAATGAGGCATTGACTTCTATAGTCAATACAATGTTTCTGGAAGTTCTTACCTCAGTCTCAGTAAAAGCAAAATATAAATCGCATTTAGGAAATGGAACACAAAATATTTTGGTACAGTGCTGATTTATTTTGTGCATAAGATGACAAAAAATACTTCAAACATTTACAAAATATTTACAGAGAAAATGCACAGGACATGGTCCCAGCACACCAAATCAGTTACCATCCCATGACAACCTTGTACTGACAGAGGGGCTCCTGATGCACTGATGGCTCCCCCATCAGACATATTCACTAAATCTTAATAATGTTTAAACTTTACCTCACAAGAAATGCAAGCTATTGAAATGACAACTGTGAAATGTATGCACATAACTGTGTTAAGAGATTTGTTTCACAAACTAATAGCTGTGCGAGGTTAAAAGACATGATGATGTCAGTATGTTCAGATATGACAAAGCCACTGAAATTAGAACCTTGAAATGTGCATATTTAAGGCAATCATTTTGTTTTGTTGTCTGAACACATGTCTGAAATGTTTAAGAGCGCCAACTCTCAGGATTTGTATGTTGGAAAAACAGAAAGTTATTGTGACTCAAAATGGGTCAGCCCTTAACTACGCCTATAGTGACAGGCACATTGCACAGTTCTTTGCGCTCTCAACTGCATCGTCATCTTTGGTGATTTTGAGTTGATCAAAACTGAGAAAGACTGGGAGAAATCAAGACTTTGAGCTACTGAAACATTTCTAATTTTGCCATATTAGGAATGAACTTTATTCAGCTGAACCAATGTGTCAGCTTTAATAGACTGAAACCTCTTATGTTGCTAGTTTTACTAATTCAACTCAGGTGGAAGAAAGTAAATAATAAAATGCAGAAGAAAAATATTGTTGGCAAACTTAAGACATGGCCCTCACTCAAAGAAATCATCCAGGGAGACGATCATCATCATCTGTTACTGCTTAGATGAATGCCTATCGATTGGAGAGCCAGTGTTCCAGGGAGAAAATGGATTCAGCCTTCAGAAGTCTTTGGTGAAGCGCTGATCACTCTGGGTAAAGCAGCAGATAACCATTTCGAGGCTTCACCAGGTTTGTCCTGGCAACAGCTAAGCGTCCGTGTTAATCGGTACCTTTTCCCACTTTGTGACTTTAACTTAAAGCGGCTATGCTCCTGACATGAATCAGTGCTCAGTGGAGGAGCGCAAGCTTGAGCCTTTCAACTCTTATTAAGCGAGGGCATTGCTAGAAGCCTACCAGTGCATTAGTCATCACTCTTCCCACTCCTTCCTTCCTCCACAACCTTCCTTCCTCTCTTAACCGCCTCTCTTCCACCACACTCAAGGCTATGGGAGTTGTGACGTGTTGTTTTTGTGTGCACACATGTATTTGTGTCTGAATTTACAATGAATGACTATTCATAATTGGCAGATTGAGATGGAGTCCGTGCAGAACAAGAGTAGCTGGTGTGTTTATCGTGCTGCCTGTCAATACAGATCTCCAGCGGCTGAATGGCTCTCAACCATTAAGTTTGGATCATTATTTAAAACATCCAGCGCTTCGCATCATTTTCCCTCATCAAAAAAAAAGTATTTTCTTCTTGCACATGAACAGCACAATGACATAATGTAATTTAAGTAGATAATACAGGAGTGTTATAAAAAAGCTCATTACTGACAGGACTAAGCGATTTATTAACAAAAACGAATCACCTACATTTTCGCCAGTCGCGGTGTCCTTTTACATTAGGAGTTGATACATTTTCCACATTAGTCTTGTCGCGCTTCATTAAAGCCTGACACGAACAAACAAATATGAAATAAAAAATGTATTTACACATTAAATGCCAACCATTTCTTCCACATTTTCAAACTTACCTCAGCTAATGTTTCCTTGTACTTTGCACACACATTTAAATATCATGTGAAAGCTAATTAATATGACACAAAAGTGAGATATAGGGCCTTCCATCTTATTAAATAAACCATATGATATTATTATTTTTAAGGCAGCACTACTGAGATTGAATCAGCCCTCAAACATACCATTTGCTGAAACAAGTTCCCTCACAGTATACAGTGCACAGTACTGTATGGCGACAGTTGATCCCTTATCCTTGTTTTTATCCTGTTCAACATGGAGTTCCAACACAACTGTTAACTGTGATTTGTGAAAAAAGTCTTGATAGAAGCCCTTCTGTTCAGGATGTCATAAAGATGTCTTAGGGTTTAAGGTTGGGCGCTCTCCACGCTCTCCATCAGAAACAAAAGTTTTTACAACAGCGCTGAAATATTTTTCTCTGAAAGTTCAGGAGAGGGATCACCTGCAAATGAGGCTCAGGATTCATTCCCTCATATTCAATGTGCAGTTTGTTCATCTGTCTGAACGTTGCATGCTGGGAGGTTGAGCATTTGGACAAAGAGGCTACAGAGTCCTTGCTTCCGTGCTTCTCCGAAGGCCGTTATTGCTGATAATTAGGGATCTCTTCAGCGTCTCTACAAAGGCAAGTCCATTTCTCCGGAGACATCCACAGAGTCCTGTCCCTTTTAAAATTCTTTAATTAGATGAATGCATTGTTCTTTTTCCTCCCTAGAATGCTTTGAAATTCACCGCGCTCAAAGAGAAAGACACGAGGAAATACTAAAGGGCTCATCCTGGATGTGGAATGTAACATTTCAGAAATCTATAATAAAAGCATAAAAGAAGTAGAAGAGGACAAAAGCGAATATGAGAAAGATGATACTAAACCATGCCCGTTATGGACCTTACTGTGTATATGGGTTCACATGAGAAGATGCCTTTCAATATCAGTGCATGAGTTTCATCTTCTCTGACAAGATTGTGTGATTCAGCTCTGGTGGTGAGCTGAGTGATCCCTCTAAAGCTGCTCTGGCGTCATCACAGCACGTCTAAGAAATGGCTTCCTAAATTAGCCAGGTGGAGTCTGGATTCCCTGAGGGGGAAAAACGAGCTCGCCAGAATGAAAACATTCCCCAAAGGACGGCAAAGAGTTTCTGCCCAAGGGAAGGACCCAAACGAAACAAAAAATAGAGAAAATCGGATACCAGAACAACAGGACTGCTCTGGTGGCACCTTGTTAAAAGTGAAATACTGGAATAGTAAAACCAAAACTACAGGGTACGCTTAAATGATCTACAGTGTTTACCTTCAATTAAGAAAGTGTAAAAAACAAACAGTTAATAAATAAGGTGTAAAAGATGAGAATAATGTACAGGGGACGATTGTGAGCAAAGGGGATGCATCTCGGTGCCCCCCAGGTTTGGAAAAATGTACAAGTTTGTGGTCGTTAATGTACTGAAAGACGGCGAGAAGAAAGAAGTGACGGAGGGAGAGAGAGAGATGAGAAGTTCTCTGGGTCTGTTCATCGGCTTTGGTCCCTGGGGTTGGTTTATCTGCAGTCTCTCTGACTCCGGAGCCATTTGGCCCTAATCTCTCCAGCCCCATGGTACTATAGGTATTGAGCCCACCGCAGCCATTGAACTCACGCCACAGTCACTCCACCACCGAATCTGCTCTCAGACCAGGACCGGCCAGGCCGTGCCTGACCCCCGGAGTCCTGCAGGTTCACTTTAGCGCCAGGCGCCATGCCAAAGGAGAGTAAGCGCCGCCGAGGGGCCCACAGTCCCAGCCTCATCCTGACAAGCAGATGGGCTTAAAAGGGGCTCGCTTGTTTGTGAGAACACAAAGTCTTTTGGATAAAGAAAAGACGTCCTGGCAGTCACACCTCAATGATGTTGACAGATGGCATCCTATTGTTGTTGTTGTTCTTCTTGGGGAACTGTGGGAGGAAAGAGGAAGACGACAGGTATGAGAAGGTTGGAGGACTCACAGGAATCATACAATATGCTTCTTCAATGAGCATGAGGATGCCTCTGTGCTTTGGATGCTTTATCGATGTTTATAGCAGGAGAGTATAAGGAATAAAGAATTGACTTTTGTTTTCTGCACTGGTTGGAGCACAGGAAATGGATATGGTATGGGGCTCTGTGCAGAACTTATAAGAAGCCATGACTTGAGCGTGCTGCAAAGTCATGCACATAATAGTGCCACAATTGTGGTGAAGTGGCCTGAAGCTGAGGTTCAGATGACACTATGATTTTGCATGAAGTGTCAGTGTAAAAAGTCTAGAAGTGGCCGGGACCATTCACCTGCCCGGCGCCGCAGAGGGGGAGGCACCCGGGGAGAGGAGGGGGTTGGGTTATACCTTACTGCGCAACAGCCCCCCAGTCGGATGTTCAGGAGTGCTGCACTCTGAGGAGTTTTTGGCTTTGTCCTTGTTGTTGTTGGGCTCATTGTCTTTGATTATGTCATACTGGCGACAGAAGAGAGCGATCACACCTGGCAGGAGGGGGAGAATGGATTCATGATCAGACATCTAAACGCAAATGCAGGACTGTCCGTTATTTTGAGAAAGATTATGACAGAAACACTGGGAAACGCTGATCCTGCTTAAATAAACACATGTCCTCACCTGCCCACATGATAAGTACCACCACGATGATGATGAGCTCCCCCGCCCTCAGCTGGGTGGTCTGGCCCACTTCCTCCATCGTCACTTCGTCTGAAGGAGTCAAGGGGCAACACGTTTATCTGACTGTTACTGGAAATGGATTAGGGTTGAGCAAACATTTCAAATTCTGTACCATAACTAAAAAACAGTAGACAATTATTGAACATTTAGCACTGGATGATATGGAGGAAATTAGCTTCAGACACATATTAAATTATTACATTAAAATGTCCCATCACACTGCCTGACTGTAAAAGACACAAGGTCAATGTGCTATTGATCTTTCTTAAGAGCCCGTTATTATGAGCAACCTTTTCAATTACATTTTCTCTTGATGTTGCCAACACAACAGTATTGTGCATTGTCTCACTTTCTCAGATGGTCTCAGAAGTTTAGGTCATTTCCCTTTTACACTCACTGGCCTGTCATAAAGCTTTTGCATCGTCACAGCCTGTTTTATGCCTTTCACTTTTTCTTGAGTCGTCAGGCGTTGTTTACAGGATGAGGAGCTAATTAGCAGCAAAACAGCAGAATTATACAAGATATCAAGAAAAATGTTTTGCTGTAAAATTTAATGAGTGACACTTGACGTGAGTGACGCATAGTGAGCTTGGGGGCAAATAAGTCAGCATCACTGTGTTTATGCTGTACAGGGATCTTGTGATAAGAACGGCCAGGTTGCACACAGATCCTGTGCGTGATATAACTTTGCATCAACCTTCTCCTCAGATGTAAAACAGCCGACGGTTTACGGTGGTTTGGATTTTGAATAACTTTAAAATGTGTGACATGCTGATATATCAATTAGATATTAAATGGTAAACAACACCTAATATCATTTCCTTCCTGTATGAAAATGATCAGGGAAGGAGGAGGGTCAGAAACAGGGGAGGTTTATCTAGTTTCTCTTTGGCTGAGGAAGTAGTCTGATTTTTGAAAGAGCACATGTATATTTATTACAGCCTTTCTTTGTAAGATTAATTTAACAAAGAAAAGTTTAGTGTGTAGAGATGGTTAAATAGTGGTGGGGAAAGTCTTCAGATCCTTTACTTAAGTAAAAGTACTATTACCATAATGTGAAAATACTCCACTACAAGTAAATTCTGCATTCTAAAACATACGTAAGAGTACTTACGTAAGTATTATCAGCAAAACTTACTTTTATATATGATGTTTTGGGTCATCATATTTGCAAGAACCATCTTTCAAAAGTCAGCTTTCCATGAGCTCAATAAAAACAGCCCTGCTTTCAGCTTTGTGACAATACATTTCCCAGCTAATCCAAGGTTTTTAAAAAATAGTTTTCTTAGGAAGTAGGAGGAATACTTAATACTTCAGTTTATCGGAAAAAATCTAATTCTAAATCACCAAATTTGGAGATACATGTTTTTCACTGGACAGGAAGTGTGATCTGAAAAGAAACTATTAACTAAAGGTGTCAGACAGTGGAGTAAAAAATGCAATAGAGGTAGTATAAAGTTGCATAAAATGCAAATATTCAAGTAAAGTACAAGTACCTTGAATTTATTTGTATTACATACAACCACTGGGGTTATAAAGATCCCCTTTACCACATGCAGAGGGACAACAGTCCTGTATGTTTCATCACATTCAGCTAGCTACTAGGACTAATATGGTAGCTTTGAGAAACATAGAAAATGCATGGATCCTAATGGATATGAGAGAATGAATGTTATCTCTACCAATAGTTGTTTCCACCTTAATTTACATTTCATATCATAAAGTAAAACTTATATATGTCATAAAAAGTTGGTCTATATATTTTTCAAGTTCAGCATTTTATTTATCTCTTTATTCAAAAATAGAGTACCACAATCCTCAGCATATTGTTATGTTTACCATAAATATGATTATTTTCATAAATATATTAAGGTTTAAATGAGATTATGTTAATGTTAATGAAGAGGCTCAAAAACTACTTCATGGTCATGTCTTTATAAGATCATTAACTTTATGTATCATAAAGCCATGATCTACATCTATGTCTATGTCTTATGGAATATCTGAATGCTTCTTTTTCTTTGATTGTGTTCAATACTAAGACTCTGAGTGCTCCACTGATTATATTAAAGTCACCCTTTCCCATCATCCCCTTGTTTGCTGTTGTTCTTGTGAGGATAAGATTCTTCTCTCTGACTTTGCTGTCCAAGTTCTCTCCCAACTTGATTGAACCATACCCCTCAGTCATTTTACCCATGTGGGGTTTCACTGACAAACTCCACACACTTTAATTTTAGAAAGTTGCAATTCTATATTCTAACTCTTTATCTTGAACTTCCTCACATAGTGTTTGAGGGTTGGTGTCTTATTCCCTGGATGTTCTGTGAGCGCTTTTACCGCTTCAGATGTCTGTCTATACTTTGTATATCCATAAGGAATACTGGCACTCGTCAGCGCTGACGCCGTTACGTCTTAAATTACAGGTGCAGCAAAGTAATAGTAGGGATCTGTAGCACAGGTGCTGATAAGGACCTTGGTTGCAGCAGGAAACAGATGTGATGATTTTCAAAAGACTGCCTTCAGGCAGGGCTATTAAAACTATATGAACACAGCCAGATGCACGCGTACAGCAGCTATAGAGATGTGTTTGCGTGATCACTAATTGTCTGTGCTCTCCTGTTGGAGTCAAAAGATCACACGGAGTCAGAACATGAAGAGAATAGTTATGGCTTCATCTAGGCTGTTGGGGATCTATTACACTAAAGCGTGATGGGGGGACAAAGCAATGCAAGCAAGTTAATCACAGTGGTCAGGATCAATCTACACCAGCCTCAATAAAAAACCCCATTATCACCTTTAAAGCTGTATGACCATCAGGAGAAATATCAAAGAGCGAAGTGTGTTTTCTCCTTGTTTGCACCTTCAGTGGTCTGCCTGTAGATGCCATCAGGTTTCTATCAAACAAAGCAACAACACTTTCTTAACTTTCTTCTTGCACTGCTGAATGTTGTAGAAGTCAGTGGCTTGATTTAAAGTTCACCGCAGCGTAAAATCTTTTATTAGATGCAGTGGCTGGCATTTGGAGGGCACGGTGTGGCAGAAACCCCACGCCCCAGTAGCTTTTAGCAATAAGCAATTCTGCCGATCGATTGGCTTCTGTTGCCCAGCATTAACTAATCAAAGTGCAACACCCCAAGGTGCCTGACACTGTTAGCAGCCTGCCTCACTGGGGCTAACTGGTCAGCTGTGACACCTCTCATGCGCACTGACCATTCACTAGACGAGGCTCTGGATTTTATTAATTAACAGCTCAAAAGTGACCTTTAAGATATCAGCAGCGCTAGAATCTTTCTGATATGTCATCTTTAATTCTATAAGATAAAAAAGAAACTGCTGTTCAAAATATGAGACAAGAGCAGACTATTTAGCTCTTGTGTCACTTTCAAAATCTAATATTTAGTTTTCATAAAGTGCAAAGCTGAAGATCTTAGAGACGGACATCCTTATAACCATGGATGTACCTACATTACTACTAGATTGTGTGTTGTTATGATGTTGTAAACTATCAGTTTTACAAAGTCATGATGACAACTAATTTGCTGGATTAAACTGTGGGTTTAATTTACAAGAATGTTTGTCCTTTAAAGGATTAGATTAGTTTAGATTAGAGATTAGTAAATTTTTACATGCATTATGTTCTTATTGTTTTTGGCGAGCAATGGCTGGGTGCACTGCAACCAAAACCTACAGTATGCTCAGCAAATGTATCTGGTGAACCTTGCCATAGCTGGAGTCAAGAACAGAAGAAGTGGGAAGTCCAAGAAGTCCACTCACCTCCAAATGATTTTGAAGCCAAGTTTTCTTTTCATTTGGATATTTTTTCATGTTTAATTAACTCAAATGTTCTCTTTCTTGTTTTTAATGAACCTTTCCAGAAATGGATAACAAAGATTCATCTTATCTTATCTTATGTTTGAACATTTTTAAATTTAAAACAGTTGTATGTCTCCAGAGTTTCTCCTTCTTTCTTTTTCTTACATGAATGTTTTATACTCCGTGCCAGGAATAAATTGTTATGTTGTTGTAGAATTCCTTTCTGTATTTTTTTAAATTGTAAATTTTAGGAACGCAAAATATATACTGCACTTCATGTCTCCACATTCCCAGAAAAAAATACAGCACATAACCCCTGTGTCTTCAGCTGTAGCTACAGTATGGCCCTGCTGGGTGGACAAATAACCATTTCCCCATTTACAGTCTTTATGCTAGGCTAAACATATCCTGACTTAGCTCCGTACTGAATGCACAGACATGAGATCGATATCAATCAGAAAGAAAATGAATAAATGTATTTCCCCAAATGTTGAGCCTAGGCAGGTTCCCAGCCAAATAGGATTTTTCCTTTGTCTTGTATGCAACTACTTCCACTTCAGTGCCCACAAAGGGGAAAAGAAAACCCATGAGTAGTTTTGTTTGTCCTATGGGATGTAGCAGAGCTGAGGCATGCTGTCTGGGGAGATATCTTACAGTATTTTCCCGCAGCCCTGTTTTGACATGCATATCAAACTCTTACGTGACAGAGGAAATGACAAATTTTTGTTCCATCCCTGTTACTGAGGATTTCCCTGTGGGCCATAGAGAGAAAGTTCTCAGTTTATCAGATCTGAGGAGACCAATGAGCCCCGTTTCCATGCTTGAAAGTGTGGTTCAAGAAATTTGCCCATGGAGAGTGTACATGTACATCTGTGTGAAAACACACATATTATATAGTTAGTTTGTGTGTTTTTAGGGAGCAGTAGAATTTAATTGTCTCTTGCTCACTGGCAGGATTTCTTATTTTCCTGTACTGCTGCATCCTCCCTTTGTCTCCTTTCTGTCAGTCACTGTTACCCTCCTCTCTTTATCTGACTCCTTGTCACTTCCTGTTTCTTCTCTTCTGTTTTGTGCACAGGTTGTTCTGTCTTTTTTTAATCTTTCCTTTGATTTCTTTTGATCTCCTGAAGCTTAAAACCACTGTGACAGACAAAATTAGAAGAAATGTGGAATAATCCAGCATTTTGGGCTCATCCTTTGCTCTTTCCACTGAGATCAGCATGATATGGTAGAACAGAAGGGCTGAGCAGTTGAGCGAGGATGGTTAAAAACCTCCCCTTTTCTTCTGGGGACGTTCGCCTGTCATATCGAGACAATGGACTAACAGCTGTACTGAGAGACTATCTCTCCCTCACTCTTTACTCTGCACAATTCTGGCTCATTTTGTGCATCAGTCCTTTACACTAACCACACATCCCATTCCCTACTGATTGGATCGTCATTTTAATCTCTAAAGAAGGTCTGAGATAGTGAGAAAGTAAAAATGAGTAGTTATCACCTGAGCAGTTTCTGTCTGATTGTTTACCTTTAGAAAATCATACAAGATAAAGCCCTCCAGTATAAAAGCCAAACAAACAAATCACTGTCTCGCTCTTATTTGGAAAATGAACTAACACTCATTCATTCATTGGCACTGTGGTGGATTCTCAACTACACTGATTTCCCACTGCATTACAAACTTGTTGACTTGACAAACATCTGCTCATCTGTCATCAAAAGGTTTCATTGTTTCAACACAGCTAAGCTAATTAAACTGACATCCTTGAGCAAATGCTGCCAATGAGACTGAGACTGATGTGTGCCATTGAGCTAGACGGTGAAGCTGTTGTTGAGTACGAGAGAATGATGATTACAGACCTGCTCTCTGTGGAGATTTGCTTTGTGAAACGTGTGCATGGTGCAAAATGTGTGGAGGAGCGGGGAAATCTTTTTTCCTTGCAGCGAATAGGGACTTAGACTTGCTGAGTGTGTGTGTGTGTGTGTGTTTGCAGACTAGAGCCTGCCAATATGTGGAAATCTTACACTTTTGGGCAATGGATGAGTGAACTGAGGCTTTCTCTCACAGCCTTCCAAATAAAACAAGCAAACAAACATTTATATCACAGAGGAATCTATTGCGTTTGACGCAGTGATGACCTGCTCATTTTAAATGAATAATTCTTTTGGGGCATTTTGGAAAATACACTTATTCCCTTACTTGCTGAGAGTTAGATGAGTAGAATGACACCACTCTCATGTCTGTATTCCAAAAATGATGCTACTGCATGCAGCCAGCTAATTTAGCTTAGTATAAAGATCAGCCACAGCAGTAAACCGCAAATCTGGGTCTGTGTAAAGGAAACAAAATCTGCCTTCCAGCACTTTAAAGCTTACTAATTAACACATTATATCCTGTTTCTTTAATCTGTACAAAAAACTTTTTTTTTTCCTTTTAGGTACTAGATTATTTCTTGTTCCGGCCAAGAAAGTCCAGCACATTAGTAAAACAGTCTTTATGCTAAACTAAATAAGATGACTGATGGCGGTAGCTACATGTTTAGCATACAGACTTGGCAGGATCTTGGCAAAAATGTGAAACTTTTCCTTTAAGGAGTATATACTTTTCCTGTTACAGTCCCTCGTAAAAATGTCTGTGTTTGTGGTCACGAGGCACTGTTCATTCTGCCGTCATGGGTTCCAAAAACAGCAGGAGAAAGAATCATATCTGGAACCTGAGGGGAAAAAAGCATGTACACAACAGGATGGAATCTAAAAAAATAATCACTTGTTTATCTGGATCCTGTGCAGTTATTGATTTTTGTAAATTCTTCCCCTTGCAGAAACAACACAGACAACACTTCCTGTGCTAAATTGGCCTCAGCGGTGAGAAGAGCATGTCTTTGGTGCTCTGCAATGATTGTATTTATCCTCTACATGTCTCTGCCAGCCCACTCGTCACCATAACAGAAGTTTAGACTCCTTCTGGCTCCACAGCCTGGGAAGTATCAAAGTATAGTGGCAGCTCACATGAGACATGAGTGTAAATGAGAGGAGGAATAGATGGAGTGGGACTTCAGCCAAAAGCACATCGATTCGCCACCCCTCGCAACTCTGACTGCCTCCTCTCTACATCCGATAAATGCCTTTCCTCATTTTGGTTTACTGTGCAGCTGGGTGCATGCAGGGTGAGGCCTGCAGAGGCACGTCAATACATGATGAAGCACGCACCCCCCTCGGACATTTTATTCCCGAGTTGTGATCAGCGGGGTCGAGCTTAAGAAGCACTCTGTTGTGAAATTTCATTTCACGCTTTGTGTGTCTATTGATTTTTATTGGTCTTTAGACAAAATCAGTCAAGATATTGTCAAAAGGCCAGGCCCCTTCTGCACACAGAAACAGAGTGAGGAAATGTGCATGTTTCTTTTTCTATAAGTGCTGTGACTGAGCAAGTGATCGTGTTTGTGTGTGTGTGTGTTTCTTTCTTTGTGCTACTTTACCTTTACCCTTAGAGGCCTGAGTCTCGGCCTCCTTCGGCGTTCGGAAGCGCAGGGGTTCGCTCAGTGGGCTCGTCCCAGACATGCTGATGGACTGGACATGCACAATGTAGTCTGTCTCCTCCTCCAAGTCCCATAATGCACAGGAGCGCGTGGTGGTGTTGACTTCCTGGATGAATCGCAGCATGCGCACGTCTTTCTTCTGTTGGAGTTTGACACGGGAGAGGATGGAAAAATTTTGTTTAGGAGTCCTATTAGGGTGGGCAGAAGTCCTGGTTGAATAAAAGTTACACTTAACGAAAAAAAGTTTGACACTGTTGTAAAGGTCAGGCTGTCATACGCAAATACCTCACTGTTAAAGCACTAGTTCAACATTTTAGGAATGCTTCCTAGCTGAGAGTTAGTTGGGATGATTGACACGACTTTCATGTCTGTACGGTGAATATCACGCTGGAGCAGGAGTTGGTTAGCTTAGCTTAGCATAAAGAGTGAAAGCAGGGGGAAACTGCTAGACTGGCTCTGTTTCTGTTTTGTATGGATTAGACATACAAGATATAACATGTTAATAGTGAGCTTTTGATGCTGGTATATAGAATTTTTTAAATCTTGGAACAGAGCCAGGCTAGGTGTACAGTCTTTATGCTAGTTTAAGCTAGCTGTCTCCTGAATAAGACTCCTTCATGTTTATCAATCTTCTTATTGTTAACTCTCTGCAAAAAAGCCAATAAACATTTCCCAAAATGTCAAACTATTCCTTTTAAAATGTCATCTTCTAATGTGAAAATACAGACAAAAAGCATGTAAGTGGAACAGGTACAGTAAGGTAAGATGAGAGAAAAAATACATTAGTATACAAATATCACAATATACGAAGACGTATATTTCTGCTGCTACTTTACTTGCTATTTATTTGGAAATAACATAATTTCATGTTTTATTTGTACCTTCAAAACATCACAGCATTTCTATTTCCCCTTCACACACACGTCAGTACCACTGTGAGAAAGTGACCCACACTGACCCAGCAGCTGTCCTCCTCAATCATATCAGTCCTGACTCCTGTGAATGAGTGTGTATTTGTGTGTTTGTGTCCATAAAGTCATGAGATGGGAGCTTGTACAGTAATGCCATTGATGTAGGTGTGAACAATGTGAGTAGTAAATAAAGGCCAGCAAAGCGCATGCATGTGAACGTGCACACGCATGATGCGCGTAACAGTTGTGCACGTGAATAAATGTTTGATTAATAAAATAATTAATTAATCAAAAACTAATTAATCAAAAAAATATAAAAAATTATATTAAAAATTTAATTACAAATTATATAAAAAATATAATACATTTTAAAAATTAACGGGTGTGAAAAGGGGGGTATATGGGATGGCCGGTGTTATCCTCTAAAAGCCGATGTTTGGGAGTGGCTTTAGCATACTGTGTATATATATAGCGGGCTAGTTTTTGACTTATATCTGACCGAGAGCGTGGAACAGTGTGACTGAACGATTTTTTGGGTGAATCCGTATAGGAAAGACCTATTTTCGTGCAGAACAACAGCGCCATCTTTGCAGCATCACAATCATGGACGTCGCATGTAATCAATTAGGAGTAATGACTCCAAAATGACGTATAATTATAGATCCTGTTGCAATGAGTATGGCTCCCAGAAAGAAGACTCCCCCAACAACATTGGCTGATTTTCTGGACCGAAAGGCCTGGGCGCCTCAGTTTGAATGGGCGGTGGAAGATTTTAGAATGTCGGGATTCTTGTTTGAGCACGGAACAGTTCATCTTTCTACAAGAGAGCTTGATGAAATTTTACTTTATGAAAGCACACCACACATTTGTTTTTCAGCCAAAGACTGGAATTACTTCAGAAACAAAGTCTGTAAAGATATGAGTGCTTCAAAAGGAGTCTATACCACACAATGGTGCGGGTCTGTGCCAGGAGAGCTCTACCGTGTAGAAACAGACCTTGAAGTCTACGAGCCAGAATCCTACATCTTTTTAGATCGTGCAAGGACGATTCTATCATTCAAAAGGCAATGATGGGAACCCCAGAGCAACAAAAAGGCTACCCCATCACGTCTAAAGTCTGTGTCTATGATGACTATGGCAAAGAACTGGGGGAAAAAAAACATTTCTTGTTCCTGAAGAAAAAGCAGAAGAGGACAAGAGCAGGGCCAAGCCGTTTAAGGGTACCTGTTTGGACAGTTGTGATAAGTACACATCTCCCAACACTACTGTTAGCGGCTTCTTTTATATTAAAGGACATAAGAGAGAAATTACGCAGAAGCTTTTTAACAAAAATTTCGCTGATGCTCAAAAGTATGTACTACGCGGTCTTGGGTTGGTGTCAACGTGTGAATGCAGTATTCGAGACATTGCAGCAGCTGCTCTACAGATGTGGCTGAGGAAGCCTTTTCTCATTGCTTTGCTTAAACAGGTAGTTAGAGTGGAGGACAGTGTGAGCACAGTAGTTTAGGATTCTCTGGGGATCTGGAAGGGGGAACAACACTACAAAAACAATGGGAAATGTGTCTAGTCTACTAAACTATGTAAATATAGAGATACATCGTGTATAAGATGAGAACACTGTTGTGTGAAGCTGTTAACGATGCGATATGTGACACAGATAGGACACGATGTTATTCTAGATTTGACAAACAGACAGAATGTGTTAGACGAATGACCTCTGGATGGCGGATAAATATGCAGATGTGAAATCTACCCTACTCCATATAGCAAATGTTTTTCCTGTGAACGATAATGATTTTCATATGGGTCATGTGTTTTGTTTTTGTACTTTTAGCATTGATTTTTGTGTTTTAATGCTAACCAGAAAACAACATGTCGATGTTGCTGATGTGATGTATTGCTTAACTGAATCTTTGGTTTGTAAAAACATAGTTGCTTGTACTGATTTTCTGAAAAGTGTATACTTGTAATCATTGCTGACGGATATGTTGCGTATGTTGCTGAAAATAAAATACTTGAACACAGACGTTGAAGCGTCAGTCTTTGTAACAAAGATCATGGAGGAGGTGATGAGGAATATATACTATGTGACTGAAAATGCAGGGGGTTACGGAGGCAAGCAAAAACTTAAAAAGGCCATATTTGACACTACTGCGGTTCAGACGTAGAAAACTGGCTCATGAAGCAAGATGCCTATACTCTACACAAGACGGCTCCAGTGCATTTTAAGAGAAACAAGGTTTTAGTGAATTCAATAGATTGGCAATTCCAGATAGATCTAGTCGACATGTCCGCTTATTCTGCTGAAAATGATGGGGTATGCTATTTATTAACATGTATAGATTTGTTTTCAAAATAAGCATGGGTGAGTTGTTTAAAAAATAAGAGTGGTAAATGCGTCACAGCGTCCTTTAAAGATATCTTAGCTGAAGGTAGAATACCGCATAAAATTCAAACAGACGAGGGAAAAGAGTTCCTAAACAAAGATTTCGAGGCGTTAATGAAAATTAATAGTAACGCACACTTTACCACATCAAATGAGACTAAGGCATCTGTAGTAGAGCGCTTTAACAGGACTCTGAAATCTAAAATGTGGCGTTATTTAACAGCCAATAATTCTAAACGATACGTAGATATATTGCAGGATTTAGTCACCTCCTACAATCATAGTTATCATCGTAGTATTAAAATGAAACCGAATGATGTAAAAAAAGACAATGAAGATATCGTATTTAACAACTTGTATAAACAAAAGATAAAAGAGTAATTCATTTCAAATATGAGGTGGGCGATACTGTAAGAATTTCAAAACTACGCGGCCCTTTTAAAAAAGGTTATGAGCAAAATTATACTGATGAATATTTCACTGTAAAGGAATGCATGTCAAGGGACCCTCCTGTTTACAGGTTAAAAGACTATGACGGCGAAATATTACAGGGGACATTTTATGAGCATAAGATGCAAAAATTTATAATAGATAAAAACAAAACATTTAAAATAGAAAAGATTTTATCTAGAAAGAAAAGACAAGGCGACAAGGGACATGGTGTTAGTCAAATGGGTCGGATGGCCAGATAAATTTAACTCGTGGATTTTGGAAAAACAGGTCATTCAGCTACCTTAGTAGATTACAAACTCATGTATAAATGGACACAGAGGATTTTTTGGTCACCCTGCCCAGCAACTCGTCTGCATTATTTTACCCGAGCAATACAATAGCAAACTTCAGAATGAAACTATCCAAGCCTTTACACTTTAAATCAGCATACGAGGTGGGTTTGATAGAAATACAATATCCAAAATGGAAATTCCAATGGGAATTCCAAACATGGAAATTGTTTTCATCAGAAGACTCAAAATTTGTCGTGTTTGATAAAAAATCCAACAAGAGGGTAGTTCCATCAGTGACACAGGGGTTCTATACAACAATATCACAGATCATAGCTGAACTAAACAGTTGTTTATCTGAAAACAACATGGGTCACATTGAGCTTGATTACAGCAACATTACCAACAGAGTAAGCCTTTTACCAACGAGAGATTCAGAATTAACGTTTCAAGGAAAACTTGCTCAAATGTTGTGGGAATTGCAACAATTAGATCTCAGCCGCGAACTAACACAGTGTTGACACAGATGCCGTAATTTGGTGCCACATCCTGCCGATGTTAACATAGGGATGTATAATATATTTGTTCATACCGATATTGTTGATCATCAAACGGTAGGGGATAGTTACGTCCCTCTTTTAAGAATAGTACATATATCGGGTCCAAACAACCATATGATCACAAATACTTGTGGCAGACTACACTATCTGAGGCTCTGCAAAACACACATCGACAGTACTGAGATTTCTCTCAAGACAGATCAGAATCAACATATCCCTTTTACGTACGGCAAAGTGATATTAAAGCTACACTTTCGACCCATAAAATATCGGTATTAGACAAGGAGCAAACATGTACCATCCATATGCTCACAATGAGGACAAGTACGTTGCATATTATACAGCCCATGCGGGTGGTGATTTACCAGGATACAGTGGGCTCGGTGCTCAGTATGGTGCAGGGTTAGGGGGTATCTTTAGGGGATTGTTTAGATTAGAATTCCCCTTATTCAAGAAATGATTTACATTTGTTGCCCCTCATTTAAAAACATAGCTACGGATGTTATTACAAACGTCATGAACAGACGTCAAGAGGGGTCGGGTATAGTGGCCGTGGCCCCCCGACCAATAAAACGACCTCCTGGGAAAAGAGGGAGTTCCCCACCAAAGACAAACAAACAAATAAGAAGACCCATCCTAAGACTAGAATAAATAAACAAGCAAGGAGAAGCAAGTAGACAAAACGTCAGAAGACAAGAGACATTTTCTAACGAGAATGTCGTTGGTACATAGCCTGTCACAAGAGTGCGTCAAGTCGGAGCTAGACCTGTTTATGGTGCCGTTAACACAAACAAGTATTGAGAAATGCATCTACATCAAATTCCCTCCTCTAGCAGCGATATCAGACTCCATACCCCTTGAATTTTTCATTCCAGCTAGTATAGAGGACTAAAAATCACCAAAGCTAATGGCAGAAACCTGTATCAAGCAGATGAAGTGGGCTTTATCAACTACCCTGGATGTACAATATTTTCACAGGTCGACATATTGTTGGGGGACCGACTCATAACGCAATCATCAAACACATATCCTTACAGGGGTATAATAGAGTGCCTTTTGAACTACGGAAAGGACGCTCTGCAGACACAGTTTGGATCCGGACTATTTTGCATGGATACAGCAGGTCATATGGACGACACAACGGCTGGAGGACGCAATGAGGGACTAGTTAAAAGAATGGAGTACACACAAGGCGGCCGCGTAGTGGAGCTAATATAACATAACATTCTGACTTGGCAAGGCAAGTTAATGATAAATGGCGTAGACCTCAAGATAAAATTCATAAGATCTAAAACCGAAATTTGACTTTCGTTTTAACATTATGTCAGCAAGCCTGTTTGTAAAGAAAGTCACCGTATCTCCGGCTGTTAAGCTAGCACAGCTAAGGCGTTTTTATGTTTATACGTTGACAGCCAACAATATCCTTCAAAACCCTTTCAACCCAACTTTACCAGAGGGAATGCCATCAGGGAGTATCATCAGTTATACTCGGCAACTGGAAAGTATCTTAAAAACAACGCTATGGCCATAACCTGCGACAAGTTTTGTAATGGATATAGTCTGTTCTGTTTTAACCTGAGCCCTGATGAAGGAGACCATATGTCGCTCATTAAAAACGGTAGTGTTAGATTAGAGGCTCGTTTTAGAAATCCGCTTCAACGCACAATAAATGCGGTTATCTACGCCACATATGATTCTATAATTGAGATATCATCAAGAAGACAGGTTCTCAATGACTTTTTCTAACTTTAACAAACGATAGTATGAATACGATAGAATTATCAAAAGTACTTGATAAAGTAGTGAAGCAAGGCGTCTTTCTTGGAGTATTTGCTAGTAACCAACTTCCCAAATCAGTTATTAAAAAGAGACCCGCCATGTTGGTGGTAAACACAGACCCCACCCACCTGGTAGGACAACACTTTGTCGCTATCTATATTGACAAGTAGGGTGTGGGGTCATTCTTTGACAGTTTTGGGAACTCTCTTATATACTCACATTTTCCTGAATCCTTTTCTGTCTTTCTCAACAGTAATTGTAAGTCCACACAACATTCTGTTAGACAAGTGCAAGATGTGGATTCTGTAGTGTGCGATCAGCATTGTGTGTTTTTTCTTTACCATATGGATAGAGGGTTATCTTATGACAATGTAATGACTAAATATAGTAGTAAATGGTCATGCAATGATTTTATGGTGTGCAAATTTGTGAAAAAAATACGACCCTCGGTTGAATGTGGTCAAAATAATTATGCAGAATGTAACCAGTGTGTCCAAGTATCAGATTCTTTTAAGTGTGTATAATAATATTAGAAGTTGTGTGCCATTCATTATCAAAATGATTTATAGATTGAAACGTGTACGACAATGTTTTTTATTATGATGATATAAATTAAAACACTGAAATGATAAAGTTATGTCTCTATGTATTTATTTAAAACCGATAACGATATACAATTAAAAAGTTATCCAATCACTCAATCGCATTTTAGGAGATACAAATGGACTTGTTTCATTGTTTGCTAATCGATGTCCTCTGGTAATAAGAGGTGTAGATGGTGGTCCAGTAATAAGAGGAGAAGATTCTCCAAAAGTCTTTCTCTTAATCTCGTCAATTTTTCTTTTGACCTGTTGATTTGGTACAACTGATAAAGGTATATTCAATATAGCCAACGATTGCAGATATTCATCCCAACCTGTAGGTCTCTGGCTGTCAGACACGTTGTGAGAAGCAGTTACTCCTCTTATCAAATCATACACGAGACCCTTTAATAACATTACCGTTAAACACAAACTCCCCACGTTCAGTCCATGCAGATATTTCTTTTGAGGAGGACATTTTATCCAAAATATGCTGGACTTTATTCCTGCTGTTTTTTGACATGTTTTTTTAAAACTTCTTCAAAAACAAAGTCTCTTCCTGCGTGATTCTTCTGCTCTGAAGAGTGTAAATCCTCAGCGACCGGCATTGACAAAGTTAGTGTGTTCTGGTCTTTTTCTCCTTTTTTTACCATGGTGAGAAATCTCTGCAATGCGATGGAATATTTTTTTGCTTTTTCATGAAGATCTTCAGTCTTTTGATCCAGAAAGTCTTTTATAGTACGATCCAGGTCATTTTCAACAGTTTCTCGAATTGACTGGTGTGCCGGAGTTCTTCTTAAAAGATCAAGCTGTTGTTTAGGTACCAGAAACATTTTTTGTGCATACTCCATAGTCATCTAAGCTTGTCTTGAACCAATAAGACTCATTATAAAAGGCACAGCGATACTCAGGAGGGGGAGAAGAAAACCGCCAGACTTTTAAAGCAACATCTTCTTTTTCTTTGAAGCGCAAACCTTTTTATTGGCAAGCAGTCTAATCCCCGCCTGCTTCTTTTTTAATTTTTGATACTGTGTCTTATTTAAAGGAATTTTACCTTTTAAAACATTGTAAGCTATTTCGCATAACGCTACCAAAAGGTCTGGTGATGCAGATTTAATAATATTCACTCTCTGAGATGGAGATGCTCCGTGCATAGTTTGCAGTAAAGACAGGTTTCTTTTAAAGCAATCAGACATGTTTAATTACTTTTTCTTAGGCACATACACAACAGGCAGGTCTGAAAGCAAGTCGGTTCTGAGCCTGAAATCATCAGGTGTCTTAGCTTTAAAATCAACCATCAAGTAAACGTAAGGAACACTCGTGGCATCCTCAAACAATCCATAAAAAAATGACTCTTCCCAGGAAACATTTGTCTAGCCATTAACATGACTTGGTATTTATCTCTGGGATTTTTAAACAAAACAAGATAATTGGTATTCAAATTAATAGTATGGCTAACTTTGCCTTGAAAAAACAAATTCTGAACTAGGTATAAATAACTTAAATTTCTATGATACACATATTTTGTAAACACATTTTGGATCTCAATGTTATTGCTAGCATCATTCATTAAATCATCAATAATCAACAAATTGCTTTTATCTAAAGGCAACAATGTATCATCACATAAAGAAGATCGCAATCCTTCAACGAAATTCACATTTCTAATTTTCAATAACTGGTCATATAATGGTTGCCAACACGAAAAAATAAACAACATTTTCATGTTGTGGTCTAAAATCAAAACCATCAGACCCCCTAACAGCCATGGCATGGTAAAGTTCTCAGATCAGGAAAAACTCTGCGTTTTGTGTACACGGCCTGAAGTCTTGCGGCTAATGTTTTATTTTTTAGTTCGAAAGCCTCTCAGATACTTAAATTGTCTCCTATTGTTAGGATAGTAGATAGGGTGATTTCTATCTCAGTTGAAATCCCATAATGTCCGACGCTCTGTGATACAGTATAAAACCGGAAAATGGTATGGATGTGATGCGCTGTTTGTCATGGAAAATAACACTATTTCAATGTCGTTTACAACAAGTCACAATCTATTTCTTTTAACTCATCGCCAGGGGTCGCCCTGTATTGCATGGGTAGGGTCCCCCTTCGATCAGTGACGTCACTACTTAGGAGGAATGCGAACGAAAAATAACCAAGCATGCATTTGAAACATTTGTTTTTTACGTATCACATCTGAAGTATCTTGTTTACTAGCTAATAATCAAGATGTTGCCAGCAAAACACAAGAGTGAGTATGTTTCTCATCAGCGTTAAAGGCCGTCCCTCAGACATCCCGTGATGCATATCGACAACGGGAGCTTTGATAAAAATACTGAAAAACCTTCTATTTGTATACAATTTGAATACAAAAGATGCTTTGTGGGGGGGGGATTGGTACATTTACATATACAGGTAAATCCATGTAGTGCCTGTGCCGTGTGTGCGTTGCTCACCTGCTGTGTAATGGCAAAGCCAATGACAGGATCTCCCTCGGGGATGTCCCATGTCACCACAGCAGAGTTTGCTTTCACCGCTTTGATGGTCACATTGACAGGAGGTGACAAGCTATCTGGAAACAGAGGGAAAAAGAAACAAAAGCTTGTTTTATCTTCTGCGGTGTCAAATGAGAAGTTCAGCTCAGTTATGTTTTTGCTGGTTGCAGACATGGCCACCAGGATGGCAGGAAGCCAAATTCAGCGGTGTGAATAAAAGGCTGTGCTGAATGCACTATGTAAAGAAGACTCTATGAGTATGGAAACACAAAACAAACAAACAAAAAAAATGCAGATCTCAATATGTTAGACACTCTAACTCAAAGTTTTGTAACATTAATATTAAGCTGCAAATATTATGGTACAAAGCAATTGTGAGACATAAAAATTTAAACCCACCACCCTTTCTGATTAGTTTTATTTATTTATTTTTACCTCCTGTTACTTTGCAAAGCTAGACAGTAATATGGTCTCATCAATGGATCTTTGTCTCTCTTTAACTGATGGCTCAGAGCTGATAATGAAAGTCTTGGCTACTCATTAAATTCCATTGCTGAAGTGTACAGTGACTGCCCTATTTAAATATTCTGTGAAGTTCAGAATCAGAAGGAAGTACAATTAAATGAAAAAACATGCAGGGTCACAGGGTACACGAGTTGAGGATAATGATTTGGTTTCATTGTATAATTAAGTGTGAGAATATGTGTGTGTTTGTGTGTCCATGTGTACTTTGCTGGCCTCTGCTGCCGCCAAATAAGACTCTCTAATTACTGTATGTGTTTCTCAAGTCTGCACAATAAACACACACACAAGTTATGGCTATAGTCTTAAATGACCGTGTGTGCAGATCAGAAGACCAGAGTCACATCAGAGAGGAACACAATAGTTTGCTTCAAATGAGTGTGAAATAGATTTTTCTTTCACACTGTTTACACCATCTCATCTGTATCTTTTCTTTTATTATAAAAATCATTTGAAGTGTAAATTGTGTCAACAATAATGAACAAAAAAGTTCTGACTGTTCACTGTCAGCCTCATGACCTCATTTCCTTGCAGTACAGGTGTGACAAGATCCTGGGGCTCGATATTTTGCAACACAAAAATTTTACAGTATGCACAGTGGTTACATGGGGATCATAATTCATATTAATCTAATCAGTGATGACTCCCAAAATGTGCATTTGTTTTATGCAAAATGCAAGTAATGCTTGAGGGGCTAATTCAATTGTATAAATACTGTGATCTGTCAGAGATAGAGACAGTGTGAAGGCCAGAAAAGAATCAACCAATGCATAAAATCAGCTGATCTGAAGATGCTGTATTTCAGTTAGGATTTGCGGCCAACCAAGTTCAGACATCAGCTTTTAATCTTAATGTTGGAATAATTCATCAGTTTATATATTATAATTTTATATAAATGGTTTGCTTGTTAAAACAGCTGTCACAGTAGTGACACACAATGGTAATGACTCAGTACAGTACAGTCCTAAATCTTAATTTACTCTTCACTACAGAGTAATTTATTTAAGATTTAGATTGACATTTTGTTGAATGCACTTATTTGCTTTGTTGCACTGAGTTAGAAGATATCAATATCACTGTCATTCCTGTAGGCCTATAGAAAATGTTAAGCTACAGCCAGCAGCCAGTTAGTTTAGCTTAGCAGAAAGACTGGAAACATATATCTCCTCGTGCCATGATGTGAGGACAACCAGTAGAAACTCAGACTGAATCATTTAATATAATTAAATAATTAATTTAATATATTATTATAACACACATTGCAGTTGCATTTATTTAGTTTATTATTTATTTTTACGGATGTTTTACAATTATTATTTAATTTTTTATAACACACACAAACACAACTTTTACTGTTTTATTTACTTATTTAATGAAATGTATGAAATTAATTGTTGTTGTAATTTATATGTAGCTTTGGCAATTTTGTTGTTATACATTCATGCCAATAAAGCTGATTTGTATTGACTGGAAACAGCTAGACTGGCTCTGTTCTTAGCTGAATCAGCTGTCAGTTTTTGTACCATTTTGTACCACCGGTGATAGCTGCATATTTAGGGCACAGACATGAGAGTGGTAGCGATCTTTCCATCTAAGTTAGCACATTTCCCAAAAAGTCATACTGTGTGTATAAGTGTTTATCATGATAGTTGAAACAGGAAGTGGTTTCTGTCAGTTTGTGTTAATGTTCAACTGACAACTGTCACAGTTGCTTTCATTCAAATTACTGGCAAATATTGTATCTGTATTGAACCATAAAGTCTGTATCCTGTATGGCACTGGATCTTGCGAGGACTCTGCTGTTATATCTTTTCTTTGCAGCAGACATCGATTCTTAGGAATCAGTGGACTTTTGGGAATGATCGCTATGTGACTGTGTAATGTGAAGCGGAACTTTTAGAGATGAATAGGGACGGCGAGAAGTGGTCACTCTCAGTGTTGCCGCTCTTCTGTCTTTAATAGGATATAAATCTAATTCAGCCCACCAAATGCAGTCAATAAGTTATTGAATAGGTTAACGCTCACTTGCCCTGCGACGGGTATAAATCACACAGCTGGTAATTACAGGATGATAGGCTGTTGTTGCACTTGTATACACTGTGACACACTGTGCATTCAGAAACAGCACACCATATCCAAGCCAGGCGTCTGTGTTACATTCCCACCCGCCTGCTGCAGACGTTTTGATGAATGGCCTGGCTAACAGTAGATGACAGGATGGAGACCTGCTGCATCTCTTCATCAGTGGGGACAGTGATGTTTGAAGTGGCTTTTTTGGGGAGTTTTTTCTGTTGACAGCTTATGGGACTGAAGAAGTCACAAATCAAACTCATTATCTCTCTCTCTGATAGTTCTCCCTTTCTCTCTTTCTTACATACAGGGACATACAACATTTAGCTCCTAATGCATTACTGCGCTACTCATTATGGAGAATACTGACTCTAACTGTCTCAAAGACATGTTTAATTGAAATGTCTATTTTGTACATTTGTACGTGCAAGTTCATGAATATTTGAGTTCATACAGCCATTTAAAAATAGGAAAAACATGTGAAGATGTTAAAAGGGGTAACATTCACAAAAATGTCTTTAATTTAAATACTGTTATGTAAGGTTTATTTCAACGAACAGCACAGAGTAATGGGAAATGGGTCACATGAACAGAGTTAAGATAAGGGCATAACCATGGCATTATGGGTAAGAGATAATGTGGAGGCAGAGCAGAGCATGCAGAGGAACAAAATAAAGCCCCAAAATAACCGTATTCTGCACTTGGTTCAAGAGGCGCACACGGTAATTTTATTTCATTTGTTTACCTTTGTGTATGGTACTTGTTTGTGTACTTTACGTGGACAATATTTATGTTTGGTTATATTGTATGATTTCATTGCATTTCGCTTGTGTTAATGTGTTTGGGCCTGTTTATCAATGGACACTAGCTTGAAAGGCCTTAAAGTGAATGTGAGATGAATGTTTTAAGCTGTTATATCTTTTATTTTCTTGTAGTTTTCACGGTGTCTGCTGACGAAGGAGAGAGTTGCGATAAAATAGATCTTCAAAAGACATCTGTATGATGCGTGGCCATTATTTCTTGGGACCAGTGTAGCTACAGTGAAAACGTACCGTCAGCACGGCCGGGAGTTGAGAGGAAGCACTAGCGCTGGGGCAGAGTGTGGCCGGAGAAGGCGTTGGAGGAGACGCTTGCCAATTCGCGGGAGAAGAAGGGCGTGTCGGCTCCTGACACCGTGGGGTGTCCTACCGCGATCCACCAAGAGAGGGCAACTTATACCAGCGAAAGATACAGCTGCAAGTATCCCCGTTACAGGCTTCAGCGTGCAGAGACGTTTCATTCCCTTGCCGTTCTTAGGCTGAAGAGTGCGGCTCTGCAGACGGCATCAGGTTTGACTGTGCTACCTCTATAAATTTATGGACATTTGTGATATTAACAGAAACTGTTAAAAATACTGGTTTATTAACAAGAGAAGCAATTTATGCTTATTATTGTTTTGATTTATTATTATACACAAATTGTTGTTCTTGCATTAGTAGTGACATTGGTTTTGTGGAGTTCAAATACCTAGCCTAATCAAAGGGTGTAACACGAGTTAGGGTCATTTACATATTTAGCATTAACCTGGTGATAGAGTACTTTTTCTAATACATTTACAATGTCAGTTCATGAGGAAAAATCACAAGAGTTTGAAAATGGTGAGCAAATTGAATTCCTTCAGGCAGAACTGACTAGGTTAAGTGACCAATTAAAATCACAAACTGATTATGCTAAAAGAGAGAGATTGGAATCACTCATAGGTGATATTCGGCATAAAATAGAAATGCAGCAAACAGCAATGATACAGCCTGCCACTTCAAAAGAAGCTGAACTCAGAAAATCTTCACGGGAGAGAAAATTTACCCCAAAGATGCAGGAGCTAAAGCAACAAGAGTCTTCTCAGAGAGAGAGCAAATTTATCACGCTATATGAAAGCTGGAAAGAGCAAATTAGAGACACACGTACCAAACTTAAGGATGAGTGCTCTGACCAAGACTTGGGTGACATGATGGATACTGTTGAAGGGCTGGAGACACAAGTGAGAGACGGGTATGAAAATATACGATCTAAGTCAGCACCTTCTACTGAGATTAGAAGAAAATCTACTACTACTGTTCGTAGCCATCACTCAAACAGTTCATCAGAACAGTACAAGTATCACAGCAAAAAGAGTAGAGTGTGCTGCACAGTTTGCTGCACAGTTTGCTGCAAAGAAGGCTGAAATAAAGATGGAAGAGGCAATCGCTGCACACAAGCAAGAACTCAAAAGACTGGAAAATCAGAGAGATTTGCAAGTTATAGCTGCTAAGCTCAAAGCATACTTCGAAGCTGACACAGGTAAGGCATGTGCCGAAAGTAGAACAGCACGCAGTGAGGTGACCAATTGCCCTCCAGTACGTTGTAAAGAAATAAAAATGGAACAAACTTGTAAGAACAATAACAGCGAACAAACAAACACTAACAATGAAGCTTCATTAGTACAAACCTTACATGACACAATGGTTCTCACCAGACTTCCTGTACCTGAGCCTTCAGTCTTCTCAGGGGACCCACTTAAGTTCTTAGAGTGGAGCACAAGTTTCAAGGCATTGATAGAACGGCGATGCACAAATCCGGCTGACATGTTGTTCTATCTACAAAAATACATCAGTGGTGAGGCCCAATTTGTATTGGAAGGAAGCTTTTACAGAAAGGATGATGAAGCTTACAACCAAGCATGGGAGGCATTGAATGCTCGGTACGGCCACCCATTCGTAATCCAATGTGCATTCAAAGAAAAACTAAATAACTGGCCAAAGATTGGCTCAAGGGAGTCCATTAAACTGAGGCAATTCAGTGATTTTCTAACAGCCTGTAGCAATGCCATGCCTCAAATTAAAGGACTTCAGGTGTTAAATGATTGTGAAGAGAACCAAAAGATGCTCAAAGAACGACTCAAAGAACTCAGATGGGTCTAAGAAAGTAAACGCTGCATTTCCATCTTCAAAACCAGTCACATGCATGTGTTGTGGAGAAAGCCACTCCATTCACGAATGTCAGAAGTTTGACAAGAAGTCTGTGGAACATAAGAGAAGGTTCATATTTGACAATAACCTGTGCTTTGGCTGTCTTAGAAGAGGACATAATTCAAAAGACTGCAAGAATAAAGCTACTTGCAGCATATGTAAGAAACACCATCCAACACCACTTCATGAGGATCGTCCATCTGCGGCTGCAGACACATCTTCTCATGCAAGGCAAGTGGAAGAAAACTCTTCTTCCCTTTCTTGCTCCATAGACAGAGTCGATGGTGGGAGCACATCCATGATAGTTCCTGTATGGATCTCTTCAACCAATGACCTTGAAAGAGAGACCTTAGTGTATGCCCTGCTGGATACACAGAGTAGCAACACCTTTGTAGACCAAGAGGTAGGTGAGAAAATGGGTGTAGGTTTAGAGCCAGTCAAGTTGAAGCTCACCACTATGATGGGAAAAGACTCCATTGTTCAAGTCAAAGAGTTAGTGGCCTTAGAGTTAGAGGGTTTACCTCTCAAAGCTTTATCAACTTGCCACCTGCTTATACAAGAGATTTCATCCCACTTGAACGTTCCCACATTCCTTCCAGTGAAACTGCCAAAAGGTGGAGACATCTGAACAGGATATCACAGGAAATGCCAGAGCTGATGGAGTGTGAGGTGGGACTCTTGATAGGCTACGACTGCTCCAGAGCATTGGCACCACGACAAGTTATTATAGGAGGTGATGACGAGCCGTATGCCATCAAGACCGACTTAGGGTGGAGCATTGTCGGCAGCTCGTCACAGGTCGCAAAGTCAACTGAAGTGACAGGGCTGTGCCATCGTGTATTGGTCAAGGAACTTCCGCCATTGACACCAGCCACTGTCATCAGAGCCCTAGAAGCAGACTTCAAAGACACAAACCCTGGGGGAAAAGAGCGTATCGCAAGATGACATACAGTTGATGGAATTACTGAATAAGAGAATACACCAGAATGCAGATGGGCACCTGGAAATGCCCCTCCCCTTCAAAACACGCCCACAACTGCCAGAAAACAAGCTGCTGGCCCTGGTGCGGCTGAAGCACCTGAAAGGGAAACTTGAAAGAAATCCCAAATTCAAGGATGACTACAACAAATTAATGGAAGGCATGTTAAAGTATCATGATGCAGAGATCGCTGATCACCAATCCAAAGTAGGAAAATGTGTGGTATATTCCTCACCAAGGGGTATATCACCCTAGAAAGCCAGACAAAATTAGGGTTGTGTTTGATTGCTCCGCCAAGTATGATGGCACGGCTCTGAATGATCATTTACTAACTGGACCAGATCTCACAAATGGCTTGACAGGAGTGCTCTGCAGATTTCGCAAACACCCGATAGCAGTCACCTGTGATGTAGAAAAAATGTTCCACAGATTCCATGTAAATCCAGAAGACAGGGATTACTTGCGTTTCATGTGGTGGGAAAATGGCGATACAAGTTCAGAGCCAAAAGAGTATCGCATGAAGGTCCACCTATTTGGAGCGGCATCCTCTCCTGGCTGCACAAATTATGGAATGAAGTATCTTGCAAGCCAGAATTAAAAGGAACATCCCTTGGCAGCTAACTTCATCACAAAGAATTTCTATGTTGATGATGGCCTTATCAGTGTGGAATCAGTGGAAACAGCCGTCAAAGTAGTGAGAGATGCTCAAAGTGTGTGTGCAAAAGGGAGATTACACCTCCACAAGTTCGTCTCCAATAACAGAGAAGTCTTGGAGTCAATTCCTGAGAGTGAACGAGAATAATGCCTCAGTGGGAGAGCTGGCTGAGTGATCTAGAGAATTTGCAAAAACTCCAGATACCAAGATTTTTTGCTCCTGAAAATCTAGGGACGATCCGGAGAACCGAACTGCATCACTTTTCGGATGCAAGTAGCCATGGGTATGGCCAGTGCTCCTATATCCGAGTGGTGAGTGAAGACAGAGTGCATTGCTCCTTAGTCATAGGCAAGGCAAGGGTTGCACCCACAAAGGTTGTAACCATACCAAGGCTGGAGTTAACAGCGGCAGTTGTTTTCTCAGCAATCAGCAGTATGTTAAAGGAGGAGCTGGAGCTCAAAATCAATCAAGAGTATTTTTGGACAGACTCGCAAGTAGTCCTGGGGTACATTAACAATGAAGCCCGGAGGTTTCACGTTTTCGTTGCAAATCGAGTCCAAAGAATCAGAGAAGCAACAGACCCAGCACAGTGGCACTACATCGACACTAATCAAAATCCAGCAGATCACGCTTCCAGAGGCCTCAAGGTGGCAGAGTTGATCAGCTCAGACTGGCTTACGGGACCCAAGTTCCTTTGGGAAAGAGATATTACACCAAAACCAACTTCAGAGCTTCTAGTGGGTGATCCTGAAGTAAGAACGACACAAGTACTACAAACAAATGCAGTAAAAGAGGAACATTTTTTGGACAGACTAAAACGATTCTCGAAATGGCACACCACAGTGAATGTTGTTGCTCGGATCCAGCAACTAGGAAAAAGAGTCAAAACAGCAGAACTCATGTGGAAGACAAGTCTGATGCTTGTAAAATTAGCAAAAAATGACGCCTTCAAAGAGGAAATACGGACACTGAGTCATTGCAAACTACCACATAGCCATCAATTGTTCCAGCTTGATCCAATATTGCAGGACGGGATCCTCAGGGTGGGAGGGAGATTAAAACAGGCTTCCTTACCCCTTGACTTGAAGCATCCAGTAATCCTACCAAGAGATAGTGTGATCACACGTCTGATCCTAGGTTACTGCCATGAAAAAACTCAGCACCAAGGAAGAGGGCAAACCCTTAATGAGTTGAGAGCAAATGGTTACTGGGTTGTTGGTGGCAGCAAAGTTGTGGTGAACTACATTAAACAATGTGTTGTATGCAGGAGAGCTCGCAGGCCAACAGAAATAAATGGCTTACGGTGTTTTATAGCTATCCGTGGAGCTGTGAGACAAATCAGGTCGGATCAAGGGACAAATTTTGTGGGGGCAAAAAAATGAACTGACAAAAGCTTTAAAAGAAGTGGACAAAGACAAAGTGACTGCTTACCTGGCCAGAAAACAATGCGACTTCATTATGAACGCACCTGATGCCAGTCACATGGGAGGCGTTTGGGAGCGGGTCCTGGCAAAGAGCGCTGGGAGATTGGATGATGCTTCTTTGAGAACGTTTTTCTATGAAGCCATGTCAATTATAAATAGCCGCCCACTCACCACTGACAGCATCAATGATCCCAAAGGCCTACAGCCACTTACACCAAACCATTTACTTACCATGAAAACCTCTGTCCCGCTGCCTCCACCAGGAAAATTTGTAGCAGAAGATCTGTATGCCAGGAAAAGATGGCGCAGAGTACAGTATCTGACAGAGCAATTCTGGTGCAGATGGAGGAAGGAATATCTAGCAAACATCACCCTCAGACAACGCTGGCATTCTTCAAAACGGAATGTGAAGATTGGAGACATTGTCATTGTCAAAGAGGAAGAGATTCCCCGCAATGAGTGGAGACTTGGAAGAGTACTTGATGTTTGTAAGGATGAAGACGGACTGGTGCGGAAAGCCACAATTCAAATGGGAACTAAAAAACTTGGGAAGGAGGGTCAGCGACTCAGTAATCCATCCATTCTTGAACGTACTATTCATAAATTAGTTGTACTTGTAGAAAACAACTAACTCGTTACAAGGGAAGTAAGCTACACTCTAAACACCTACCTGTGTGAACAGTTTAAGGTATCGGTCTTGACCCAAGAGGTTTCATAGATACAGACTGTTTTGGTTCTGGAATTTACTAGATTTATTCAAAGATTTGCATAAAGGTTATCATGAATCATAGTAAATTGGTGGGAGTGTAACTGTCTTAAAGACATGTTTAATTGAAATGTCTATTTTGTATATTTGTATGTGCAAGTTCATGAATATTTGAGTTCATACAGCCATTTAAAAATAGGAAAAACATGTGAAGATGTTAAAAGGGGTAACATTCACAAAAATGTCTTTAATTTAAATACTGTTATGTAAGGTTTATTTCAACGAACAGCAGAGAGTAATGGGAAATGGGTCACATGAACAGAGTTAAGATAAGGGCATAACCATGGCATTATGGGTAAGAGATAATGTGGAGGCAGAGCAGAGCATGCAGAGGAACAAAATAAAGCCCCAAAATAACCGTATTCTGCACTTGGTTCAAGAGGCGCACACGGTAATTGCCTTTCATTTGTTTACCTTTGTGTATGGTACTTGTTTGTGTACTTTACGTGGACAATATTTATGTTTGGTTATATTGTATGATTTCATTGCATTTCGCTTGTGTTAATGTGTTTGGGCCTGTTTATCAATGGACACTAGCTTGAAAGGCCTTAAAGTGAATGTGAGATGAATGTTTAAGCTGTATGTCTTTTATTTTCTTGTAGTTTTCACGGTGTCTGCTGACAAAGGAGAGAGTTGCGATAAAATAAATCTTCAAAAGACATCTGTATGATGCGTGGCCATTATTTCTTGGGACCAGTGTAGCTACACTGACCAAAATGAATTACATTACTAATAACTCAGTACCAAAGTAATGTGTTCTATTACTCGCTACTTTAGGGTGCCACTCCAACACCTCCACGCACACACACACGACACATCTTCTGTATTTAAGTGTAGAAGGCTGTGAGGTGCTCCTTGTGACTAGTTAACTGATCTGCATTTGTAAAATTGATGGACTGCCTCTTTAATGGGCAAGAATAGATTTGACTTTTGACATGACTTCGATTGACGACATTAATAGAATAGGCAACGTTCTCATCCAGACATGAGAATAGAATCTGGTGTCATTTGACCCCTCATTCTTCTCCATAATCGCCTGACAACAGTCTTACCTGTAAGGCTCTACTTGCTCCATACCTCCCACCTCATGTCTTTTAAATTTGGAAATTTTGCACAGAGCTTGTTAGGTTTTAATAAAGCCTCTAAATTTCTTATCGTGATGCGTGTACTTTCTCTTTGCTCTGCCTGCTGCAAAGCCCCTTGAAATTAGAAAATCTTTTCCCACTGAATGATTTTAAAATAATGACATCTCATTGTCACTTTGTATAGTGTAGTAGATAGAAGAATTTCTTTTGTTTTCTCCTTCTTTTTTGTATATATTGCTGGCTGCCTGTTGGAATGTGTAAGTTAATGATTGTGATTTAAGTCTCTCCTGGTAAATCAGAATCAGAATCCGAATCAGTTTTATTGCCAGGTATGTGTACACATACGAGGAATTTGACTCAGGATTGTACATTGCTCACGATGTGCTTACTTATACAATAATAAAATAATAATATAATAATAATAAAATAAAATCAGACACAAACTACAGAGTAGACAACACTAATATACACACTATGAACAAAACAATATAGACATATTGCCAAATAGTGCAGTAATCAGAGTGCAAAGGATGCAAGAGTAAACTATTCTCATTATGTACATGTTGAAGGTGGATATGATATACAGGTACACACACATACATGTACACAGTGTGATGGAGCATAGTGCAAAGGATGCTGGAAAAAATAAATATGACCTATGACCTTATGACCTGAGGTAAGTGTATTGGTATACAGTATATACAATATGACATAGTATGAACAGCACTGAAATAGAGAATGGTGAAGTGGAAACCAGTTAACAGGTGCTGATTAGAGGCAGAGTTACTGGGTTATTGCACAGGAATTGTTCTTGACACTGTGAGTCAGAAATCAGCTGTTCATCAGAGTGATGGCTTGTGGGAAAAAACTGCTTCTGTGTCTGTTGGTTTTCGCGTACAGTGATCTTTAGCGCCTACCAGAGGGGAGGAGCTGGAACAGGTTGTGTCCGGGGTGAGATAGATCTGCAGTGATGTTTCCTGCCCGTTTCCTGACTCTGGAAATGTAGTCCTGAAGTCCTGAATGGAGCGCAGGTTGGCACCGATTATTTTTTCTGCAGTCCTGACTGTCCGTTGTAGTCTGCTCCTGTCCTTTTTGGTGGCAGATCCAAACCAGACAGTGATGGAGGTGCAGAGAACAGACTGGATGATGGCTGTGTAGAACTGGATCAGCAGCTCCTTAGGCACAGGAAGTACATCCTCTGCTGGGCCTTCTTGATGATCGTGTCAGTGTTGGGCTCTCACTTCAGGTCCTGGGATATAGTGGAACCCAGAAACCTGAAGGATTCCACAGCAGACACAGGGCTACTGAATATGGTGATGGGGGGCAGAGTGGAGGGGCTCCTCCTGAAGTCCACGGTCATCTCCACAGTTTTGAGCGTGTTAAGCTCCAGGTTGTTCTGACCGCACCAGAGAGCCAGCTGATCAACCTCCCGTCTGTAGGCCAACTCGTCACCGTCCCGGATGAGGCCGATGACCGTTGTGTCGTCAGCGAACTTCAGGAGTTTGGCAGATGGGTCCCCTGAGGTGCAGTCATTGGTGTAGAGGGAGAAGATGGTGGGGAAAGCACACACCCCTGGGGGGCGCCAGTGTTGATAGTCCGGCTGCTGGATGTGATGTTTCCCAGCCTCACCTGCTGACTCCTGTCAGTCAGGAAGTCTGTGATCCACTGACAGGTGGAGGCTGGCACAGTGAGCTGGGTGAGTTTGGTGCTGAGGATGTCCAGGATGATGGTGTTGAATGCCGAGCTGAAGTCCACAAACAGGATCCTAGCATATCTCCTTGGAGAGTCGAGGTGTTGCAGGATGCGATGCAGACTCAAGTTGACTGCATCATCCACTGACCTGTTAGCCCTGTAGGCAAACTGCAGGGGGTCCAGCAGGGGGCCTGTAATGTCCTTCAGGTGGGCCAACACCAGCCTTCAAAGGACTTCATGACTACAGATGTCAGGGCGATGGGCCTGTAGTCATTTAGTCCAGAGATGGAGGGTTTTTTGGGGACTGGGATGATTGTGGAGCGTTTGAAGCAGGAGAGAACTTCACACAGCTCCAGTGATCTGTTGAAGATCTGAGTGAAGATGGGGGCCAGCTGGTCAGATTTTCAGGCACGATGGTGAGACACCGTCAGGTCCAGGAGCCTTCCTGATCTTCTGCCTTTGGAAGAGGTGGCTCTCGTCCTCTTCACAGATCTTGAGTGCAGGTGAGAGGTCAGAGCGGGAAGGTGACTGTTTGAAGATGGTGTTGGAGTGGGGGAGAGGTGTGACTCTGGGCTTTTCAAACCTACAGTTGAAACCATTCAGCTCGTCTGCCAGTTGTTGAGTACCAGCAGTGTTGGGGGATGGTCTCTTGTAGTTTGAGAGTTTCTGTAGGCTTCTCCACAACGCCGCAGGGTCGTTGGCTGCAAAGCTGTTATTTAGCTTTTCAGCATAGCACCTCTTTGCAGCTTTGACCTCTTTAGTCATTGTGTTCCTGGCCTGGTTGTACAAGACTCTGTCCCCACTTCAGACTTTAATCTCTCTGAGACGCCAGGTTACATAGAGACAAATGATAAAAAAGATGATTACATTACATTTAGATCTCAGGAGTTTGCAACAAGGTTCCCTTGTTCTTTCTCCTTAGGTTTCTGCAAAACAATGTTAAACCATCTCTTTGTGTGTCCTCATGTACCACAGCTTCCGGTCACTTTTGGTCTGTCTTTGTCCATCTCCTCTCTCCCATAGGACTGCACTACGCTGAGGTACAATGAGAAGAGACGTTGGCCGTGACCGTGGGCCTTAAATATCCACAAGACACAAGAGTCAGCTCTAATGAAACACCAGACAGATGTCTTCATAACCTCTCTCATTGCAGTGGCACTCAGTCTGCCTCACCCTGAGAGACGGAGGTGACTTTGAGCTATGACGGATGTCCCTGGGGTGTGTGTGAGTGTGTGTCTTAAGCTCAATGATGATCAGAGTGACAGCTAGTTGTCTAACCCATGCTGAGGTTGTGAAGGGTGACAGCTCCTTAATATCCCTGTTCATTAAAGAACTCACTGGGAGTGTGTGTGTGAAACCATATACAGTCAAGGAGAGGAAGCCGAGCAGCTGTTTGATGACACAGATGTGTTACGAACACACATACAAAGGTACAGCCCTGGTCCATAAAGCCTATCATTATTTAATGAATGTTCTCCTTATCTCTCTGTCAACCTCAGAAAGACAGGATCTCTCCTCCAACACCTCCTTCCCTCCCTCTTGACTCCTCCTCTGAATCTCTTTTCAGCGTGTTGTGTGTCCGCACCACGCTTCCCAAAGCTGGGTAAAGTGCAGTTCACTGCTTTTAAGGTAGTGAATTTCTAGTGTATTTATAGAGGGGAAATATTGCAGATAACATGGGATGATGTAATAAAGAAATCATAGTGTGCTATGAAAAACAAATTGTTTTTTCTTTAACCAGATGTGTAATTCACATAATCCACTATGGAATTTGTTTACTTTCTAACAATCATCTTGTATAAGGGACCACATTTACACCTGGGATTAACATACCATCTGTTTCTGGTGTGTCTTACCTGGATAAGGAAAACGCATGCTAATGCAAGGTGTAAATGGAGGCAGAACGCATTGAATGCAATCAGTTCAGGGCAAGACTGAACTGTGGGTCCTCATCCGTTTGTATTGCAGATGTCTACTTTTGCCTTTATATAATCATCAGGTACAGAACTTACAGCAAGGTTACACATAGCAGCTGTAAAACAACCAGCAGGTGTGCTAGCACACGCCATGTTTGCTATGTATCTGGTAGTTTGTGGTGTTACGGCCTCGCCCTTATTTGTGTATATGTATCTGTGTTGTGCAGCTGTGTGTTATGTTAAGCAGGATGTGCGAACCCTTGCCGAGGATTGGCTGGCGCGAGACCCACCTACTTCCTGGTTCCGGCTGGTGGTCTGATTGGTGCGGCGCCTGGCAACCTCCTCCAGTCATCTACCGCCTTCCAGATCATCCCCTGTTTAAATAGCTGCCTACATGTGTGAACTTCGCAGTTGTGATTTTCCCCTTGATCAACTCGCCTTGTTCGTATCGTCCTTTATAGTGGTAATTGCGTTAACTGCTATAGAAGCATTAGTTCTAGTGATAAGTGTTAGTTCTTAAGGTTTAAATTTAGTTCTAGTGTCTGAGCAAGTACCTTAGTGGGGGATTACTGATGTCGACCAGACACCTGCAGTTAAGTTTGTTAGATACACTAGGCTTAGAGGGTGCTGCTCCTTTTGTTTCTTACTGGGCAAGTCAGAGTTTTGTTTAGTTTGATTTCGAAGTAGCAAGTGGCTATCTCTCAGTTGGAGAGACCTCTTTAAGTTATATCTGGTTCTTTGATTTAAGCAGCATCCACCAGCCCTTTTCCGTTCTGTTTGTAAACGCTGTCAACAATAAACAACTTGCATTTTTACCAAAAACACTCTGTTTCATGTTGCTTCCCTTTCCCCACGAGCTGGGTCGTAATGTGGTAATTTGATTAAACATAAATTAATTGAGGATTTTGCACTATGTAAGCATAGTTAATACTAAAGTAAAAGTAGTATACCTATTTTTTATACCGGGACCCTTTTTTACAAGACTGGGCCTGAAGTGGAAATGCAGAACTGACTTTAAGGCCCCTTTCATATTATGCTGGGGCCTTGGGGCAGTTACCCGCTTTGCTTAGCTGTGGTCGAGAGGATTATTTATCACCATAATTTATTTGTGTAAATGTGTAAATATCAATAAAAATGAATGATGGCTGACTTACATATAGCTGCTTCAGCTTACTGGGACACTCAAACAGAACAGAGGCATCATTAATGTTATTAGTGACACTGGTGCTTTTCCTACATGTCAAAATGTCTGCAGTGCCTGTTTGATTGTGTCTTTAGTAAAGTTGTACTACACTTATGACCCCAGTCAGCTGAAACAGTCTGATATGTGTTACACCTGAGCAGACAGCAGCAGCCTTGAGCCTGAGGGAATATGAAACCTTGCAGGGTGGTGCTCCAGCTTCCATCTGCCCCGTGGGGAGATATTACTGATTTGTACCACCTTATTACACTTCTGCAATCCTTAGAAATGCATTTCTCAGAGTGAGGCCCTTGGGCTGGTTCTGCTCCCTGGGATGCTAATGAGTTAGTCTGTAGGCTTGTGAACTAACATGGAAACTGCCTGTTAGCTACATCATCTTCTACTGTTATCTAGCATTTTGGAGACAGGCACAGGCCTCGGGTGTTTCTTACTTCCTGTTCCGTTCTTTGAATCCTTTTGGGGATCACTGTGCTACTACTAATTGTGTTTAGCAACTTAAGCCACCATAGCTCCTATCACGGCTAAAAATAAACAGTTTGTGGGGAAGGTGTAATAACCAGAAGGTGGGAGCAAATAGCAAAGTGGCGTGCATTTCAAGAAATGCTTTGGTAGGGGGAAGAAAAAAAAGCTTTGTACTGCACCCATAACGGCTAGGAAGCATGAGGCCATGGGGGAATTAGTGTCTGTAAATTAGCACATGTTGATTAGTGCGGAGAAGCCTTGCGCTGCAGCGCTGGGGGAATTACAATTTCTTGCTGCTTGTTTCCCCCGCTAACATGTTATTGAGTCTCATGAGCTGTGCTCTCAAGGGGGTTAGCATACATACAGCTGGCAGAGACATTAGCTCCCCTTCATTCATAGTTAATGTGCCATGATAAAGCCATCAGAATTTTGTGCTGATCTGGATTTCGCCCTTGCATGTGTCAGAAGAGACCTTGGCACGTGGTCTCGTCCTGGTGGACACACACACACACACACACGCACGCACGCACGCACGCACGCACGCACAGAAGTTATGAGGATCACAGTATGACACTCTGGAGAGGAGGCGAGCACAAGGCGTTAATGTGTCTCATTTATAAGCAAAAGCATCTGATGAATAATTTAGAAGTGCTAACGCATGTGATCGCATCGGAGTTACACTGTAACGCAGTGTCATGTTTTATAACTTACTGCCCATAATGCGTTTTTATTAGAGACTGCCTACTGTTTCCCAGCCGTTCCACCATGTTTCCATTCTGACTGCTTGAATGTTACATAAACCACAAAAGGGAGCTCCACTATGTATAGCCTCTTTTGTTCTTCTTTGTCCCGCCATTTGTTTCATACAACTGCCAGAGCTTTTGGATCTGTATTCACCACCCCCTTGTCACAGGATATCCACCTCATACGTTTCCTCTATTTCTTCCCATATTCACTTTGTGACTATAATGGACGCACACACCCTCACTGTCTATCTGTTTTTGTCTCGCTTTCCTTTCATCTCTGTCGGTCTCTCCAACACTCCCTCGCTATATTTCTGAACAGCTACTACACCAGGGCTTTTTGGCAGCTCCTCCATAGCCTGGCGTGTTAAGCTCTCTAGCCTGTAACTGACACTTCAATGGGAATCTGGGCGCAGAGAGGAGATGGTGGGTGAAAAGGGGAGACGGTAGCCTAGCTGTGAGTCACTCATGTACTATTCTGCTATTGATTAGCCTCATGCTACTCACACACTGGCTGCTGATCAGCTGGTTTACAATGTAGGCAGATGCACAGCTTATAAATGTAAGAATTGTTTTGAGGCTAAAATTAAAGTCTGGCTATAGATTTAAATTTTAAATTAATTTAGGATGTCTTCCTTTAACAGCCACAGAGCGACTGTTTGTGTGTGTGTGTGTGTTTGTGTGTGTGTGTGTGTGTGTGTGTGTGTAGGAGGCTGTACGTGTATGCTTTCTGCATGTGTATGTTGAAACAGAGCCTGTGCGTTCTCTGTGGTCCATTCAGGCTTTGTACACAGCAGCCCAGCGCAGTTGAATAATCACACCTAAGGGTCTTTTTGTCCCTTTGTAGAGAAATGAGTTATTTACTCATAGGAAATGAATTTTCCAACCCCGCTGGCCACAAGAAAGCTGAGGTGGGGAGGGTGGGATTGCAAAACAGAATCTTTCTCCCCCTCTTTCCATCTGATAGACACACACACACACACACACACACACACTTCTCAAATTAAATGTCAAAAGGCAGGGTATGAAAATCAATGCAGCACTGTGTGCAGAGAGAATACAAGCCAGCTAATTCAAAGGAAAAGGAGTGCCGTGAGTCTGATTATTTGAGTTATTTGTCAAGCCCAATGCTAATGAAATCTACGCTCAAATCTGTTGCAAACCCCCCGGGAAGCAGCAGGATTATGGGATGGGGCTGATAACGCTAAAGGACCTCACAGATTTATTTAAGGTTATAAATATGACATTAGCGCGTCTTCTCTCGTCTTTAATGTCAGACTCACTGTATAGCCGGTCTTTCTCTGTTGCAACCCTGCTGAGCACAGCTGATAGAGTAACACCTATAGTAGCTGCTGCCTGGGAGGATGGATGTCACAGGCAGGTGGAGGGGTAGAATGTGAATAATATTTTCTCTATGATTCCTTCATGTTTCACTCTCTTTTGCCACTAGCATTCTCTTTATCTCTCTCCAGCTTTGTCTTTCTCTCCTGTGGCTCTAACACTAGCACCCCCTCTACCTTTTGCATTTTACTTTAATTTGCTCTTTCTCTATCCATCACTCCCTTCATCTCTGTGTCACTCTCTAGCAAGAGTTGCCCTAAGAAAGGAATGTGCTGGGTGACTACTTGACCCTGACTGAAGACTGAGGCCCCCCAACCAAACTAGACTAGCCACTACCAGCACAAAAGATGATCATGGGCAAAAGTAGGTACAGTAGCCAAAAGCTGTACTTAAGTAAAAGTATTCAAAACAAATACAACAACTAGAAGTAAATGTTGTCATCAAAATAACTACAGGAGTAAGAATACAAAAGTATTTACTGAAAAAATACTAGCAAGTAACTTTGCTAAATTTGATGTGGATTTGACTGAAACAATTTCCCCTACTGATGGTCTTCCTCAGGTAAAGGTAAAGAAGCAAACACACTATTGAAATGACAAGTCATCATCTCCTGATTAGATAGCCAGCCACATATTTCCAGTGTATATCGATCAAGTGTAATTACAAAATACTACATTACTATTAAGTACACCAATAAGTAAAGATTGTTTAAAAACATTCTATTGTTTAATAATATATTTTCTTGTTGTCTCCGATATTACGTTATGATTTGGCAAACAAATCAATGTAGGAGATAATACTGTGATGTTTCACAATTTATTGCCTATCAAATACAGGTGTGTTCACTGCTTCACTTTCACCAGAAGAAGATCTGTGGTTGAAACATTATATCTGTTACATCCACATGAAAAGTAATTGTATATTCAATATGTAGCGGAGTAAAAATAATGATTCTTCTCAAAAATCTATTCAAGTAACAGTAAAAGTATGATACATTAAAACTACTCTGACAAGTACATTTTACTCATAAAAGTTAGACAAAGTACAAGCAACAGAGTAAATGTAACTCATTAATAATATCTCTGATCATGGGAAACTGACTGATAAGCTGGAGAGTACAAACACACACACACACACACACACACACACACACACACACACCTTAACATGTATACACTTTAACAATGTAGACGTCTGTCTACATGGTCCTATTTACAGTGAACAACACAGAAGCATTGAAAATACATTCCTGACTTCTCTGTGTCAAACACAACTTCTGCAACAGGAGACAAAACTTTTGTAAGAGGAGAGAAATAAGGAAAGGTGTGTGTTTGTTGGTGAATGTATTGCAGGTAACCTCTTAGGGAGCCCACCTGTGCTGCAGACTGCTCAAATGCAAAATCACACCATCTGGACTCCCTGTGGATTTGACTGCCCAGTACCTAATAAAAAACAATATTTTTATGCTCTGCTGGATTGCTGAGGAAAACTGGAGGAGGAGGAGTGCAGGGGCCTACGCACAGATTTACTAATCTATCGTTCCTGGAGGCTTGCATTTCCATTTTTATCTGAAAAACAAGGAAATCATTTATTTCAGTGTGAAATTATTCCATTAATGCCACCTCATTTTTGTCCTTGTTTTAGTGCTGAGCAGAACTGAGAATTAAGATAATTAATTTTAATTGATTTAACTAACACAAGTATATTTTCTGTCAGGCCGAAACTGTTAAAACAAAAAGCACATTTGTAATCAATGAATTGCACTGAAGTGGTTCTGTGCCCACTGTCTGTTTTGTGTATGACACAAAGGGTTTTTTAAACCTCTCTATACTGCATCATTTTACAGTATTTATTTATCTCTGTACAAGTCACTTATGAATGTGACAAATAATACTGTTAAGTTTATCTGAATTGCATTAAATACTGCAGCGATTTAACAGCTACAAACACTAAAACAGCCAATGTTTACCATTATGTAGTATTTTTAGAGAATTAACAGCCAGAACAGCATTTCAGCCAGAACAACTTTTTTTAGTATCTCATCCTAACTGTCTTGGATCTTTTTTGTCTTCATT